TTCCCCTCCCCAACAAAAATACATTTACGCTATTTGATTTCATGTACATACCCACCTTCCCAACTCGTAGCTATTGTTGTTGTTGTTTGATAATAAACGCTTTGTGAATTTGTTTTATTTTTTGAGAACGTGGAAACATCACTAACGCTAACAATTTACAGTGACCCACACATAAGAATGGGAGCAATTAAGGTTGAAACGGGGGACCGAAATCAATGAAACGAGAGAACGTATATCTCCCTACGCCACTATGCGTATTTAGTAGAGCTCTCGTAACAAAAAACTCTATATTTTTGGTATTTATGTGAAGTAATGCATGATATGACTTCGATAAGGATTATATTAAAAAATATTTCTTGGAGCAATAGATATACCGGACCGAGTTTCAACAAATGGTAAAATTCGATTCAATATAAAAAAATCTATTCAATTTGGGCTGATACTAAATATATGGTGCGCAATAACCTTACAATCAGATAAATCTGTATATCGAAGCTATATAAAAACCTGAACCGATCTCGATAAAATTTGGCAGAGATATTTACGAGCAGTTTCTTATGCCTGGTATCAAATAGCCTTGCTGTGAAGTGCATATTACACATGTGAGGGACTTAAACCCCCAAATCGGATAAAACATATATACAGGAGCTATAGCTATAACTGAAACGATTTACACCAAATTTGAAGTACTTGTTTCTAAGATAAATTCTTTCGGAATTGCCAAAATTCAGTCCATTTGGGCTGATATTGACCATTTGGAGCACAAACAGGCTGAAATCGGATAAAGATATATATGAGAGCTTTACCCAAATTTGAACCGATCTTGACAAAATTTTAAATACTTATTTCTGAGCTGTATCTGATATCTGCTACCACATATCATTCTTGTGGAGGGCATATTACGAATGTAGGGGGCTTAAACACCACATCGGATGAAACCTATACATGGGAGCTATAGCTATATCTGAACCGATTTTGACCAAAAATTTGAAGCACTTGCTTTTAGGCTGAACTCCGTTGGAAGTGCCAAAATTCAGTCCATTTGGGCTTATATTGGCCATTTGGTGCACAAAAAAGCTGAAATCGGATAAAGATATATATAAGAGCTATATCCAAATTTGAACCGATCTTGATAAAAATTGGCAGAGCTATTTCTGGGAGGTATGTGATATCTGGTACCAAATATCATTCTTGTGGAGTGCAGGTCTTAAAATCCCAAATCGGATGAAACACATATATGGGAGCTATAGCTATATTTGAACCGATTTTCTTTTTTTACTTGCTTCTAGACTAAATTCGATGGGATGTACCAAAATTGAGTTCATTTGGACTGATATTGGCCATTTGGTGCACAATGAACCCGAAATCGGTTGAAGATATATGGGAGCTATATCTACATTTGAACCTTAGTCGGCTTGGTCCCAAAAATAACGGGGGTACCCCTTTTTTAAATTTGTCACCAACATTCATATGAATAGGGGAGCCACTGTATTTTATTAATGCCACAACCAGCAACAACAACACCAATCAAACATTTAAATATATCAATGTGGCCCCCAACAACCAGGAAGGGGTGTGTTTCAGCTTGTAAACGATTACTTTTTTTTAGTTTCCTTTATTGCTGCTGCTGTTGTTGTTCGTAATATTATGATTGGTTTTGTCGAAAACATTGAACGGCTATATAATGAATAGAACATAAATAAATATGTATGCACAAAACTACATACATACGTACATATATACATTTCTACTTAATGATTAACACAAGAATCATCATCTTTATCATTGTCGGTGCACTCACAACATACGGACGAACACACACACACACACTCTCCTAGCATTTATCCCCACTGTGGAATCCACAGACCATTGCTGCTATACTATAGCAGCTCCCCAACAACAACAACAACAACAAGAAAAAGAAACCATTCATTTTTCTCGATAATGAAATATCTATGCCATTTACACGACTAAAAAGCCATCAAACGAATATTTATGCTCTCATAATAAATTATACAGGCTCTCTCATCAGAGATGGGAAATTTGAATCACTGCTTCGTACAGTGTTGATTCTCCTTTGTACATCAATTACAAGGCGAATGTACTCGATATGGCAACTGTTTACCATAAATAGAACCATGAACATTAAAAATATGTAAAACATTCCTCGGAGGACCATAATTTAATGGGTTGTGTTATACCCTCAGCCATATGCCTAGTGAAGGTATATATCATTTATTACGGCCAAAACGTGACTCATCGAAATAACGGTTCTAGACCCGTCTGTCTGGCTGGCTGGTGCGCACGATAACTCACGAAGGGAGTATCCGATTTGATCCAAACTTGGTACATTGTAATATTATTGTCAAACTTAGATCGAGTTCGGAGATGGGCAATATCGGTCCACTCCTTCTGGTACCTCCCCCACAAAATTTCAACATTTTCAAAGAAAACAATTTACTGTACAGAAAGAGAAAGGCTAATCCGGTTTTGCTACAACTTTGAAAATCCTTATATTGGCGTCAATGCTAAGTCAGGTGTGAAAATGAACTATATCGGTCCACTCCACCAAGTACCTCTCCCACAAAGAGTCAACATTAAGTCTTATAAAGTGTGACGTAAGCGTCTACAAACATCACAATATTTTTGTTAAACCAAGGTCTTATGTGAAGATGGAATATATCGGTCCACTCCTTCTGGTACCTCCCTCACAAAATTCTCATAAAAAGCAAAATGAACATACGATTCCATTCAGACTTGGCACATTTCAATATTTCCATCAACACAAGATCTGTTATAAAGATGGTAGAGTTCGGACAATTGCTTCTGGCACCTCCCCCACAAAGGGTCAGCATCTTAAATAACCAAAACGATCATAAATCCGAAATAAGCATCCGATTCTCTTCAAATTACACACATCACAATAGGTTTATTAGCCCAAGGTGTGAAGATGGAATATATCCGTTCACTCCTTCTGGTACCTCCCCCACAAAGGGTCTACATTTTGAAAAATGGTTCGTGAGCTGAACATATTGCAATAATCCATTCGGCAAATATTGAAAAATAAGCTCGGGGCAAAGCCATTGAAATTCCAAAAAGTGCAAGAACTTACACCGCACCGGAAAGAAAATAGACTCAAGAGAACTAAAGAGTTGCTTCGCTTGGCCGAAAGTGGTGGACTGCCGAATTTGGTTTTCTCCTACGAGAAAACATTCGTTGTCCAGCAGTTTGTAAACAAACTAAAGGTGCAAGTACACACAAAGCTTGAAGTCATGGGTAGGCTAATTAATGTCAAATTATAAAAAAACGACGGCAGGATTTTAGTGCGGCTCTGTAAGCCCTTTATGAAATGTCTCAAAATATGCCTAGCCATGACCTCAAGCTTCTTATGTACTTGCACCCTAAATGATCGTGTTTACATTCCGAAGAGGTCAGCTGAAATTGTACATCTTCGGTTGGCCAAGAGAACTCAAGCGCCTGTCATGGTGATGGTGTGGGCCGCCATAACAACCGATGTTCGCTCTCCGCTCGTATTAATCGAACGTGGCATCAGAATAAATGCCGAATATTATCGCGAAAATATTCTGGGGGGTGTATTAAAGCTTTGGGCACTCAAACATTATAGCACTCAGCACGAGCGACCCAAAAATGGTTACAAAGTGAGGTTCCTCGCTTCATGTTCAGCGCACAATGGCCCCCAAAATCTCCGCATACCAATCCGTTGGACTATTGTGTCTGGAGTATTTTGGAAAGCAAGGTTTTCACTAAAAAATACCAAAGTGCCGATCACCTCAAGCAAGCGATTCGCCGGGAATGGACCAAAATACTACAGAGCAACATTTGGGCAGCGTGTGACGGTTTCATTGGCCGTTTGAAGGCCATAACTCACGCCAAAGGTGACCAATTCAAACAAATCTCAAAATTTGATGCTATTTCCGACATTTTTTGCTTTCATTCAATAAAATTTAAAAAAAATGTAAAAATGTTGGCGATTGACATTGTTGTTGTGGTGTTTTTATCCCACCCTGTACATCTGTCGGAAAAACCGACTGATACTATTTTTCTTCTTCTTATCATTATTATTATTGTTAATAATAATATTATTATTATTTCTTTTATTATTATTATTATTATTATTATTATTATTATTATTATTATTATTATTATTATTATTATTATTATTATTATTATTATTATTATTATTATTATTATTATTATTATTATTATTATTATTATTATTTTTATTATTATTATTATTATTATTATTATTATTATTAGTATTATTATTATTATTATTATTATTATTATTATTATTATTATTATTATTATTATTATTATTATTATTATTTTTATTATTATTATTATTATTATTATTATTATTATTGCTATTATTATAATTGTTATTATTATAATTTTTATTATTATTATATAAGATCCTAAATTTACGCAATTCAATCTAAAGTGCTCTAAAGGAAAAACTTTTTTAAGGCACTATTATCTCATCCAGCCGACGCCGTTCCAAAGTGCTGGCTAACTTTACTTTTTTATAAATATAAAATCATCAATCAAATCAAAGGAATTAATGATCAAAATAACGGTTTTTGCGAAAACATCTTGGCTGTAATTAAGATTTTACTTTCAGATATGTATTATTTACAAAACCTCCAGCTTGTGTAAAAATTAACAAATAAATATTTAAAAATTAAAAGTCTTTGTACATCAATAGCAATATTTTTATGCTATGACATTCACGTTCGCAAACGTTTTAAATAAAAGTACATATTTTGTCGGAAAGTACACTGCGTGTAAAATTTATCAATATATTCTACTTTTCCAACCCCGTTAGACACATTCTCTCACTATATCTCTCTCTCTGTCATTTTATCAAATATGCTTTCTCTCCAGAGCAGATAAAAGTTGCTGGTTGAGTTCATTCGTGTTTCTGTCGCGCACACACAACAAAACTGAATATGCTGGTTTGGTAATAGAATTCATTCACTCGTCATTGCTATTTCAGTCGCTGTTTAAAAATCAAACAAACCGGTCGCAAGCGGTTGTCGTCTTCGTCGTCTCGGTGAAACGGCATAAACGTGAAATAAAATACAATTCAGTTTTTTTTTTTTTTGTTCATTGCCTTTTCGAGCGATTTTTTTTCGTGTGTTGTTTCTTATTTCATTGTGTATTGTTGCAAATAAATGTTGGAGGAGACTACTCTAAATTTGTATTGTGCCATGTGTGCGTGTCGAGTGGTCTCGAGAAAATAAAGTATAAAATTTAAATTATTTGCACACAATTATTAACAAAAAAAAAGAAATAAAGAAAAAACTACAAATGTGAATGCCAGGCATTTCTACATAAAGTAAGCAGCTTAAATAGCCAATCAGTCAGTCAGTCAGTCAGTGAGATCGACGACGTCAATGAATTTTAATTTAAAAATTGCAAGCAAAGCGGAGGAGAAGAAGGAGAGAGAAAATCAAAACCAAGGTGTGTGTGCGTGCGTGTTAGTTTTCTAGTTGTATGAATTTTTAATTTATTTGTAGTGGCGATTTTTGTTGTTGTTCAATAAACTATTTGATAGGCAAATACAGTTGTGCGCTTTCATGAAAAAACAAGAAAGACCAGTAAAGCAGATTACACTGAAAACAATGAATTTATTGAACAAAAAGGAAAAATATATTTACACGGCTAAACTTGAGCCGCTAAGAAGTATGGCCTAGAATAAATAAAAAAAAATATGGCTTTAACATCAAAAGTATATTGTGTATGTGTTATTGTAATAAATAAATAAATATCAACTACATATTTGGTTTCATACTTCCGCTGTTCCATTGTCGCCGCCGCCGTGGTCTGTCTGTCGGCCTGAGTGTATGATGTCTTGAAAAACCACTCACGTTTTGGATTAATGAGGCAGCGTACCTAAAACAAAAATACCTAGAAATTGTTTTGTTCATACAAAAGTGACCAGCCTTTTTTGGCTCTTTTTTCAACACAAGTGTTTGAAAATAACAAAATGTGAAATACAATTTTTCGTCATATCCATTGATGTTGGTCACAAGAATACAATCTTAAAAATAAACACAAAAACATAATATTTGGGGTGTGAGAGTGGCTGTGTGTGTGCGTTTGAACATGAAAATGTGTGTTCGCCGTCGTCGTCGTTGTTGTTGTTTGTCTGTGAGTTAAGTCAAGGGAAGCCAGCCAGTCAGCCAGCATAAACAAGAAACCCAACCTTTTTCCGGTTTGAAAGTTAATAAAACGTACTACAATAACAACCAAAGTGGAAAGAGGCAAAAGAAAACTTCCACACAAAAAAAAAACGTTAACTGTTAAAATGATGAAAAAAAGGAAAACCAACAACAAAATAATGATGTGGAAAAAACCTAGAAATGTTAACAACAATTTCCCATAAATCAAACATTTAATTGTATATTCTAAGCACACACACACAAAAACATAGATAATACGGTGGTTTAGCTCTGCTGTGCTGAGTGTTTTTGTTTTTCGGATATACAATATTTCAATTGGATTAAAAATTGTGGAAAGTACAACAATAAAAATGTAATTAAATGCCAACCAACGTTTGGTTCCCAAAAAAGGAATTTATTTAATCTTTCTACAACGACTCACTACTTAAATTGAAACTCCACTGTTCTCTCTTGCTCTCATTGGCTTCATTACAAAAACGAAAAAGTCAAAAACATATGTTTTTTGGCAGTGATGCCAATTTGTTGATTTTTTTCCGGCAACAGGTAAAGGAGTTTTCTTAATTTAACCGAGGAGAAGTGATCGGTTTTTTGTTAAAACCAAACCGTGGTAAATTGTCAAATCCATTGCATATACAGGGTGATATAAAAAAACTGGGAACAACTCTATTTTGGTAAACACTCTTCGATTTTTTCGAATTTTTTTTCAGAGGAAGTTATTTTTACCCTGATTTCGGGGAACTTTTTTATCTTGCGAACGGACCCAGCAGAAAAAAGTAGTTTCCCGGGATCAGGGTAAAAATACATACCTCTAGAAAAAATTTCGAAAAAATCGAAGAGTTTTTACTAAACCAAAACCAAAACTGCAACAATGCAAAACGCCATGATTTTCAAATTTTTTTATTGTTATTGAATAAAAGCAAAAAAATCGGAAATAGCATCAAATTTTAGAATAAGTTTAGATTTGTTCGAATTAGTCACCTTTGCCACGAATTATGGCCTTCAAACGGCAAATGAAACCCTCACACGCTACTTGAATGTTGCTCTGCGGTATTATTGGCCCATTCCCGGCGTAGCGCTTGCTTGAGCTAATCGACAATTTGGTATTTTTTAGTGCCAACCTTGCTTTCCAAAATGCTCCAGACACAATAGTCCAACGGATTGCTATCCGGAGATTTTGGTGGCCATTGTGGGCTGGAAATGAAGCGAGGAACCTCGCACTGGCGCTTGCTGAGTGCGATGGTACTGACTCCTGTTGGAATGACCAGGGTCTGCGGCCAAAATGTTTGCATGCCCAAAGTTTTGGTACACCCTCCAGAATATCTTCACAATAATATTCGGCATGTATACTGATCCCACGGTCGATTTATACGAGCGGAGAGCGACCATCGGCTGTTATGGCGGCCCATACCATCACCATGTCCGGCTCTTGAGTTCTGGTGGCCAACCGAAGGTGTACATGTTCAGCTGACCTCTTTGGCAAGTAAACACGATCATTTTGTTTGTTAACAAACTACAGGACAACAAATGTTTTCTCATCGGAGAAACCCAAATTCGGCAGTTCATCACTTTTGGCCAAGCGAAGCAACTCTTTAGCTGCAAAAGCACTTTTTGGAGTTTCAATGGCTTTACCCCGAGGAATATTGCGATATGTTCAGCTCATGAGACATTTTTCGGCCACTGCAACACGGGTTCCGATCAAGTCGCTTCTTTACTTTTCGAAACATTTCTGCTGATGTTGCTGTTTTATTCCTTCTGTCCACTTCCTTGACGTCGGGCTATGCTACCAGTATCACGGTAGTCACGAGCGATGGTACGAAACACAAAAGATTTATTCACATTTAAATGCTGGAGTGCTCTAACGATAGCCACTTGTGGGTTTCCAGCCAAATATAAAGAAATCACGCTTGAATTCCATCACGAATAATTTTTTTTTTTTGGGAAATTCTCACCAAATTGCTTTTGCAGTCTAAAGTTGGTTGCAGTTTTTTCATCTCACCCTGTATATGAAACTACAGTTGTTTCGATTCGAATATATATACAATTTTTGAGTGGATGTAGTGTTTATTCTTTGAAAACACCAAAAAGGCATATTAGTACGTCTGAGGCGAATATTTCAAGGTGTTTTTAGATTGATAGACTTTTATTAATATTCTAGCTTCATCCGATCTATTAGTCACTTGTTATTCAAATTTGATTTCCCTCAGGACAACATGAAAGTTATGGGTAACAATAATCATGAGAAAATCTTCTTGAACAACAATCTATTGAGGCGAAACATCTGCCATCACCATTTAATTCAATCATTAAAAATAAACATATCCTTCCCAGGCTCTATACTTCCTAAACTTGAAGCCAGAAAAATTCCAAATGCCTGCAAACTTTCAGAAAATTCCCTTTTTTAGATATTCTCTACGAAATTGATGTTTTGTAGCAGCTCATACTGCTGTGTTCGTTTTGACTCCTCTCAATCGGGTTCTGCCTCTAAGTCTAGTCTCAAAAAGGATACAACCTGTACGGGTTGGGTCCACAACGACACCTGGGTTTGGTGAGTAGGTTTGGCTGGGCAGCGAAATAGGTGCAGCGTGTCATGTGTACCTGTGTCACAAGCTGGGCAGATCTTTTGCACATCACTGTCAAGCCGGACCCAATAGGAATTGAGGCGGCTGCACCATCCGGATCTTAACTGGGCCAAAACTACTCGTTAGAGTGAATGCTATCTCTACGAAGTAGATCATTTTGGCTGCGTTCATAATAATTGATAGTTGGCAGCATTGTATTCTTAGCCAATTTCCTGATCTCTTTCACACGGCCTTTCCGCCTGGCGTATGCAAACCCTTTTTCATCTCATTGTGAAATTCAAACATAATTCGCATAGATGATCATTACCTGTTCCATTTCCTAGGAATTGATCACAAAAAAAAAATACAAAATAAGCAACATCTGCTTAACAGCTCATGCTAATCGACATAGAAACAATATACGATCTATTTATGACATTCGACAAACATGGCTACAAGTGTTGTTAAGTTTCAATTGAAATTCAACAGAAAATTTCATAATTTTGGGAGATACCAAGATTTAATTGTGACTCGGAGTCTACAACTATGGCTGTCACAAATTGATGTACACGTAGCGTTTACTTAATGTTGAATCACGTAATAATATATGCAGGTCAGAGTACTTAGCACAAGGCGAACTCAAGTCGGTCCTGCAAGTATACCAGACTGTCTTGTGTAAAACTTGGGAATGGGAGAAGTGATAATTGGTTTTTCCTGAAAATTCCATTCCAAAATTCCTAGCTTAAGTTATGTGCAATCCGGATACATTCATAATTTAACACAAGCTTTAATATGTTTTTTCATACCTATGTTTATTTTTGGACAGGTTCCAGTTCAAATGTATCTACTTATGTGAAAATGTTCCTAAATTTTTTATATCGAAAGGTCCTGATCCTAGTTGGGCTTGTGTAAATTAAATACCTGTGAAATCATGGATGAAAAACCAACCGATACATACTTATTTGAGAGCAACTAAATCCTCCCAAGAGTTACCAAAATGATATGTCTTTAATACCTAGAATCACTACATCATCCAAATAACCCTAACATTTTTCACCTCACCTCCAAATAATAACTTTAATTTTTTTTTTCAATGGAATTTCAAATTATTTGTTTTCATTTTCTGTGTTCAACGCTTAACCTGACTGTCCCCTACATACACACCTACCCACTACATCAAAGATCTACAGAAATTTTGTTCATTATTACAACCACAAAATTCACAGAATTTAATAATGGTTGAAGTAGTAGTAAACGACCGAAGAGTAGCGAGAGAGTGAGTCAGTCAGCTAACCAACAACCAGTAATTGGAAAAATGTAAACTAAAGTTGGTTGGTTGGCTGACTGTCTGGTGGAGGATGGTAAGCAGGCGAAATATGGATTTCGAATGCAAATGGCTTTGATTGGAATTTCCAAGAATTCAAATTCATATTTTTACCTTTTAAACTACCTACCACCTATCTCTTCTTCAGCGAAAAGCAACAAACGAACGAAAATTATGATTAATTTAATGAAATTCATATTAAAAATGTTTCATTTTTGGGCGAAAAAACAAAAAATAAATCAAAAACACAACACATGCACATTTTGTTCATGCATAAATTCTCCATAATTGGAGTCTTTGTGAATAAGTGAGGCTAACAACAAAATCCAAGAATCCCAAAGACATCATCAGCAGCGGTAACACATACACATTATGATCATCATCTGCTGCTGCCATCCTCCATCCTACACAAAACATTGTTTCAATGCTAACCATAAAAACGTCTTCACGGAATTGTGCTACAATGTGAGTGGAATTACCCCCAACCTCCAACAAGATGTCAAAAGGGGAAACGACTTGGTTGGATTTTGGCAAATTCAAATGAATTCCTCATCAATTGAGTTTTGAGAAATCAGTTGGTTTCTCTTTAAGCCAAGCTTCTTCTCTCTGATGTATTTTTTCTGTCTCTTTCACTTGCGTGTTGTATGGCTCTTCTGACTCGTTTTCTTTGCGGTAATGTCAAAAGAAAACATGCATTCATAAATAATTCCAAGTAAAAATGACAAGGCTCATTGTGTTGTGTGTTCGTTTGGTCTTTCTTTCATAGTGAGGAGAGACAGCCAGCCAGCCAGCCAACAAAAAACGTTAAAGGTGGTGGTGATGATGACGATGTTGTTGTTGTCTTCGTTAGTGAAAATTACAAACAAAACGAGTTTAACAAAATTCATCAAAATATCAACACACATAAATGTTGGATTGGCGTTCAATTTTATACTTTGTTCATTTATACTTTGTAATTTATTTAACATTGTGTTCTAGCTAGCCTTGATAGAAAATGTGTATGCATTGAAAATATTTTCTAATTTTCTTGTCAATCAATAAAATTCAATTGCTGTGAAAAGTCCTCGGCCTTATAATTCCAATAGGTTATGGGCCCTTAAAGAGCTTCAACAATCGACAAAAGGATCAAGGATTATCAAGAAATACTAAGGACATCAATATTTCCAGGAACAGAATTCAATAAGGAGTAAAGGCAATATGGCTGAAGCTAAACCAAGATTTTCAAAATTGAACAATTCCAATTATGCAAATTGGAAATTCAGAATGGAACTATTGCTAAGGAAGCAAAATCTATGGAAGAAAGTAATTGAAGGACCAAGACCCCGTGAAAATCGAGGAGAAGCAGGTAATATTATAAATGCGGCAGCAATTAGTGATTGGGATGAAAAGGATGACGAGGCAAGAGGCACAATCGGTCTCTTAGTGATGGACGATCAATTATGTCATATAAGGCACCTTAAAACAGCAAAAGAGACTTGGAATGCTTTAAAAGAGTATCATGAGCGAAATACATTAACGAATAAAGTCTTTTTGATGCGTTCTATATGCTCATTGAAGCTTGAAGAAGGAGGTGATGCGGTAAGCCACATTAATAACATGAATGATTTATTCACAAAATTAAGAGATATCGGTGAAGAGACATTGACGGATAAATGGAGTGCTGCTATGTTACTCAGTAGTCTTCCAGAGAGCTATGATACGTTGATAACATCACTCGAATCACGCAAAGAAGAGGAGATTACGTTCGCATTTGTTCAACAAAGGGTCATTGCTGAATTTGAAAGACGACTACATTCTAATGGCGTTTCAAATGATGCTGTTATGAAAATTGCTGACAATTCCAATAAGACGTGTTTCTTTTGCAAAAAGCCTGGTCACCAAAAGAAAAATTGTGTAAAATATAAAAATTGGAAAATAAAGCAAGACACCAGCAAAAACAAGTATAAGGTTCACGCGATTGAAGAAAAGCAGGAATCGCCAAAACCGCCGAATGATTTTCTTTTCAACTTTGGAAGTGCAAGTAAAGGTTCTTGGTTAATCGATTCAGGTGCTACAAGGCATGTGGTGAACAATAAAGAATTTTTTCGATCCTTAAATGAGACATACAAAAGTACATTGCAATTAGCAAATGGCGAAAATATTTTTGTTCAAGGATTAGGATATGGTGATTTAAAGATAGTGAATGATAATGGTGTTGAACGAAAAATTTCAATGAAAGAAGTTCTTTATGTACCTACCCTTGTTGGGAATATTCTATCAGTTAGACAACTGTCAAAGGATGGATATGAAGTCAAATTTAAAGGAAATGTTTGTGAAATTACACAAAGAGATATAACAGTCGGAATTGCAGATGTTAGTGGAGAAATGTATATTTTAAGGACACCAGATGCTGTTTGTACCTTGACACAACATAATGAAAATTGTATTCATCAGTGGCATCGCAGATTAGGCCACAGGGATCCCAAAGCAATTCGTAAAATGGAAGCAGACGGATTAGTTGAAGGTATGAAAATAGTCAACTGCAATATTAAAGAATCTTGTGAAACGTGCATAAAAGGAAAAATGACTCGGCTGCCTTTTCCAAAACAGTCAACATGTTCATCTAAAGCTCCACTAGATTTAATCCATACGGATGTATGCGGACCTATGCAGACTGCAACAGCTAATGGAAAACGTTATATTGTCACTTTTATAGATGATTTCTCAAGTTTCACAGTGATACAATTGCTAAAAGAGAAGTCTGAAGTGGAAGGGACTATAAGAGAATTCATAAAGTTTTGCAATACTCTTTTTGGCAGTAACCCCAAGGTAATCCGTTCCGATAGAGGCGGTGAATATACAGGAAAACGTCTACAAGATTATTTAAAATCGGAAGGTATCCAAGTTCAATTTACCACCCCTTACTCTCCACAGCAAAATGGTAAGGCTGAAAGGAAGAACCGCACACTTGTGGAAATGAGTCGATGTTTACTTATTGACGCTGATTTACCAAAATCATTCTGGGGTGAAGCCGTGTCAACAGCAAACTACATACAAAATCGAGTGCTAACGAGAGCAACAAAACAAACTCCTTATGAATTATGGTATGGTAAGAAGCCAGATGTTTCAAATCTTCATATATTTGGTTCAAAATGTTTCGTACATATACCATCTGAAAAGCGGCAAAAGTTAGATTCAACGGCAAATCAGATGATTTTTCTCGGATATGATGCAAATTCAAAAGGCTATCGATGTTACGATGCGTCTAAAAACAAGGTTGTCGTAAGTCGGGATGTAAGATTTACAGAAGTAGAATTAAGAGATTGCTCAATGGATTTCCCACAAAAGAAACAAGGCACATTACAGATTGAGGAGGAGAATTTACCAGTTTCAGATTCTGTTTCCAATAGTGATGAAAATCTAACATCAAGGTCTGTTTCAAGTAATCAAGAAAATGAAGGAGCAATCAGTAATGTGCAAATTCAGGAGGAGAGTGAGAATGATGAGGAGCAAACAGTACGCGTGTCCAAAAGATCAACTAAGGGTATTCCAGCTAAACGATTAATAGATGAAATTTGGATGGCCAATCACGAACCAGAACCGAAAACGTATGATGAAGCTATTAAAGGCGATGATAAGGACAAATGGTTTGATGCTATGCAAGAAGAAATAAAAGCTATGAGAACTAATAATACATGGGACATAGTACCATTACCTGAAGGGAGGAAAGCGGTGGGCAGTAAATGGGTTTTCAAATTAAAAAGAAATGCCAATGGGGATTTTGTTCGTTATAAAGCAAGACTCGTTGCCCAAGGATATTCGCAGAAATATGGAGTAGACTACAATGAAGTGTTTTCGCCTGTCGTCATGCATACAACTTTTCGAATGCTTCTCTCTGTTGCTGCGAAACGAAATCTGATTGTACAACATATAGATGCAAAAACCGCATTTCTCAATGGAAATTTGGAAGAAACAATCTACATGGTACAACCGAAAGGTTTTGAAGATGGAAATGAGAAAAATGTTTGTTTATTAAAGAAGGCCATATATGGGTTGAAGCAAGCTTCAAGGTCGTGGAATAATTTATTGAATGAAACATTGACAAAGGCAAAATTAAAACAAAGCGTGAGTGACCCCTGTTTTTATTCCGGATATATATTAGACCAAATATGCTATATTATTATATATGTTGATGACATAATTTTGGCATGTTCAACAACTGATCAGATACAATGTATAGAAAAAATATTATCTGACAGTTTTGTTATGAAGAATTTGGGAGATATAAGAAGTTATTTGGGAATTCAAATTAGTAAAGATTTATATGGAAATTATGAAATTTGTCAATCCCAATATATTAAAAGATTAGCAGATGAGTTTGGCCTAGGAAGTTGCAAGTTGTCAAAATCTCCTATGGATATAAATTACGGAAAGAAAAACATTTCAAACTTGTTGGAAACTAATGCAAAATATCGAAAACTTATTGGTCATTTACTTTATATATCTGTTAATTCGAGACCAGATATTTCTGCATCAGTATGTTTCTTGTCACAGAAGGTTTCAAATCCGTCGGAAGAAGATTGGAAACAAAGTAAACGAGTTGTAAAATATTTGGTGCACACTGCAAGCATGAAATTAAACTTGAGCAATGTTCAAAAAGATAATTTGGAATTAATTGGTTATGCAGACGCATCATGGGCTGATGATCAAATTGGAAGAAAGTCAACAAGTGGTCGCATATTTTTTTATAATGGAGGAACAATATCATGGACGTGTCAAAAGCAATCCATCGTCGCTACTTCCACTTGTGAGGCAGAATACATATCTATGTCTGAAGCCGGAAAGGAAACTAAATGGTTGCGACAACTGCTCAGAGATTTCAATGAACCTCCTACCAAACCTACTGTTATTTTCAATGATAATCAAAGTTGTCTTCGAATTCTTACAGATGACAAATTTTCATTTAGAACAAAACATATGGATATTAAATATAAATTTACAAAGGAATTGGTGAAGAACAATATAATAATTTGTGAATATTGTCCGACTGAGGATATGATAGCGGATATTTTAACAAAGCCTCTACCAATATCAAAACACGAATTTCTACGTTTGAAGTGTAATATAAAATGAACGAGGAGGAGTGTTGGATTGGCGTTCAATTTTATACTTTGTTCATTTATACTTTGTAATTTATTTAACATTGTGTTCTAGCTAGCCTTGATAGAAAATGTGTATGCATTGAAAATATTTTCTAATTTTCTTGTCAATCAATAAAATTCAATTGCTGTGAAAAGTCCTCGGCCTTATAATTCCAATAATAAACACTTACATACACACATATCCAGCCATCCATCCATCCATGCACAATATCATCATCCAATCATGGCCAAACAATCTTTGTTGTAGTCCATCGTGATGTTGCTGTTGTTGTTTTTATCCTTTGTGTTTAGAATTTTCCTTTATTCACATTTATACCACCATTCTTCGCTTGAATTTTGTTTATTTCCTGGAATTTTGAAGACCCTTTTTCAGTTCAGTTCAGTTCGTGTAGTAGACATTGACGATTTTGTAAAATGTGTAGCTGTGTCGTTGTTGTTGCTGGCTTCATTGTAATGGTTTTGTATTCCATTCCCTTTAGTGTTGTTGTTGCTCTTGGCATTTATTGCATTTCTTGGGATCTAAACAAAAAAGGATCCAATGGAATATTTCAAAACTAATTTTTCTTTCCATTGTATGTTCTTCTGCTCCATAGTGGGTAGAACAAGCCCATTATGGACAATTGTCCTTTGGTAATGGCCTATACTTCGAATGAAGTATGATAATTTAGGAAAATAAAATGAGTTGCTTTTGCGGCGAATGTAGGAATTCTTAGCAGCTAGTTAGTTTGTAGGGTACACTAGATCGACAAATAAAAGCGCGCCAAATGTAAACATGTGAACACCCCTAAATGTAATTACCTATTATATTAGTTTTCTTTACGACTTTTAGCATTTTAAATTAATTCTATAGTAAAAAAGTATTTTCTTTGTGAAATATTTTATAGTATTTTCAATAGATCTCCTTCATAGATTATCAGAACAAATTACATTTTGGTTTTTTGGAAGAAAGTCTGAGAAAAAAGTGCTGCACGGAAAATAAATAATAAAAATACTGCAACAAAGCCAAAGGCCATAACTTTTAATTTTTTTTTAATTTTATTAAATGAAAGCAAAAAATGTCGGAAATAGCATCAAATTTTAGAATAAGTTTACAATGAAGAGAAGGTAGGTCAACTTTGAAAAAATTGCAAGTATAGAGGTCTACCTGTTTGGCTTGTAATGTCAGAATTAGTATCAAAACAATAGAAAATCAAACAACTTGTTGCATTTATTTTGAATAAATAATTGAAAACCGCGATAATTTAATGAAAGGTCAACACTTCTTTTCAAAATCTTGTACTTTCTATCTCTAAAGGATTATTTCGCTACAAAAACTCTAGATTTTGTCGATGCATACGTTGAAATAAACATTTTGAAAACACCCGAATTTGAATGTTTTCTGAACAATTTTTTTGTTATTGAAAAGAAAACACATACATAAACAAATAAAGATGACATATTAAGCCAAGAAAATAAAAAAATTAAAATCATATGGTAGTTCTGCCCTACCTTGATATCATTGTACCATGGTACCAACCTTACTTTCCAAAATACTTCTCCAGTCACAATAGTCCAACAGATTGGTATCCGGAGATTTTGGTGGCCATTGTGCGCTGGAAATGAATCGAGGAACCTCATTTTGTAACCATTATTGGGTGGCGCGTGCTGAGTCCTGTTGGAATGTCCAAAGTCTGCGGCCAAAATGTTTGCGTGCCCAAGGCTTTAATACACCATCCAGAATATTTTCGCGATAATATTCGCCATTTATTCTGATGACACGGTCAATTAACACGAGCGGAGAGCGACCATCGGCTGTTATGGCGGCCCGGCGCTTGAGTTCTGGTGGCCAACCCAAGGTGCAACTTTTTAGCTCTTTTGAGTCTAATTTCTTTCTGTTGCGGTGTAAGTTCTTGCACTTTTTGGAATTTCCATGGCTTCACCCCGAGCTCATTTTTCAATATTTGCCGAATGAAATATTGCGATATGTTCTATTTAGCTCTCGAGCCATTTTTCGGCCACTGCTACGCGGGTTTCGATCAAGTCGCTTCTTTACTTTTCGAACCATTTCTGCGATGTTGCTGTTTTTTTCCCTCCACTTCCTTGACGTCGGGCTACGCTACCAGTATTACGGTAACGAGCGATGGTAAGAGACACAAAATATTTATTTTCATTTAAATCTCACCCTGTACATTGCATTGCTAGAAACTACCTCTACAATTTAGAGTAATTTTATCTTACAGTTGTGTTGTCGTTTTATTTATTAGAATAGCTTAGTTTTTAACTGATTCTCTACTTTATCTTTGAGAAAATATGTTCATTATTTGCGATTGATTTTCTGCTTGTAGTAGACATTGAGCTCAATCCCATCCAACATTCTTTTACTGTTCTCCATCACACAACACATTTTGAATGTGTACCGCATTTTCCCCTTAAAAATTGTTTGCCTGTTTGTGATGTTGTTTTTTTTTTTTTTTCTTTAAATTATTTTTATGCTATTTTCGCGCAAAGAGAAATTAATTCTTCTGAAAAATTGTCTGTCCACTTGTTCCACTCGTTCGTTCTCTGTACACTTTTGATTCAGTTTTTTTTTTCTCTGTTTATTTTTCTACGAACATCATTAGTATAGCACGCATCAACAACGACTACAAGACAACAGGCATCAATACAAATTTCACAGAATTATAATAAAACAAATATAAAAAAATGTTTTTTTTTTTTTTTTTCTTACTTTATTGTATTGAATTGTTATATGAAAAAATTCCGATGAATTTTTTTTTCGACTCCACAAGCCATTTTGAACACAGAGATAAATGTTGCAAAAAGCATACTACGCATGTGAAATGATGAAAAGTGTTGGTTTGCTGTTCAAAGAATTTCCGATGTTTTTTAGTAGGGGAAAAAGGTTGGAAATTAAATGTTAAATTTTAGAGACAACAAAACTTCCAAGTTATAGTTATATTGTTTATACCTAACAACTTAAAGTAAGTAATTCTTTGAATTAAATTTCATTTTCGCAGTTAACAAGCTTCTATTGTTATGTTATAAGATCCATAATGGAAGAATTTCTACCAAATAATGTTAGCTGCGTTTGGTTGCTTCCTTGAAAAGGTAATAATAGTGTGCTGCGTTGTTATATTAATACCTAGAATTCGAATACAATTTTTGTATTCTTCCGTTACTTCTTGGAATTGTTTGCCTCAATGGTTACTTGCTTTGGTACTGAGTGACAGAAGCAGCAGTATTGTATTGTGTGCGCTGGATGTATTCGAGTTTGGGTTGAGTTAAAAGGCCTTTTTTGTATCGCCAACAATTGTTGTTGTTTTTGTTATTTACATTAAAGACATACTTGCAAAATTACTCTTCCCTTGTGTTACGGACCCCGACGATAAGTATCTACTTATCACCCAAAATGTGAAAAGTTTCTTGGAAAAGATTTTAATTTGGGAATTTTTGCGTTTTCTATAAGTTGTCTGACACCCCAGATATACAACCACCTACCTACCTGTCGTAATAAATAAAGATCATTAAATATTGTTAATTAGTCATTTCTCAAAACCTCAATGCGTTTGGCTTTAATTAACAACTAACCCAATTACAGTTTCATGTTGATGGTTGCTTGGTTTTTTATTTTGTAGTTTTAAATTCAAAATAAAAAACCATTAAACGAATTTGGACAATTACCTAAATGACAGCATAATTTTGTTATGCAAAGTAATTGCCATTTTTTTTTGTCATGCGAATCCTACTTTTTCTAGGGATGTATAGTTAAACAACACTGAACATACCCATCGATACTCGTATATCAATCAGCTGTAACTCTGACAGAAGACTTAGTAGTTATATAAAATCACTGAATTATATCTGCATATATCTAAACAGATTTCCTTTCAGGAATATATGGTCGTTGTATTAACCCAGATTAACTGTCGTCTCTTTGGTCGTCTACATCAACTTATGATCTACCGTAGCAGTACCAAGTTATGGACCTAATTTACAATTGTGAATTTGTCCAAAACAAGAAAAATATTTAGGATATTTAAGATAGTGTACGAATGTGAAATTCGCTGTGTAGGTACAATCGACAGCTACAATCCCCGTAATTTTTCGACATAATCAGCTACACAAACTTTGTATTACGTCAATCGATATGTTAATCTAAATGTTTAAGGCACCAATCTTGCAATATAATATTATATCACCTACAATTTTTATCTTTGCGATAGCCCTAGAATAAAGTTTATTCTATTCAAATATGGAAATCTTAATTTATACCTTAATAAAGATTACGATAAGGCAGCATTCTTATTATTTATTTTATTTATGAATCAGGTGGGAACGCCATTGTTGTATATCAGCACAAATGTTTTTTTTTTTATTAAATGTGTTTGCTAATATATCCTGTGTGGTGCCTGGTCATATAAAAAAAGGATCGACAGTAATTGATTCCAAGCTACAATTCTATGCTAGAATCTAGTAGCCCTATTCCTCAAGAATTTTGGAATTAATGATTTTATGATTTTTTAATTTAAAGGCCATTAAAATTTTTTATTTTCAAACGTTCCTGAAAAGAACAATAATTAACTTTTTAATCATTAAAATAAAATTTTTATGAATTGCAATTCACATTTTATTTGTTCTATGAATAAATTAAGAAATCGCCATTGAACTGTTTTTGTTTGACGTCAAGCTGTTGTATTTATTATTTTTATTCTCTTCACCTATCTCGTCTCAATTATCATTTAATTAATATGTATTGTTTTAATTCAATTACAGATATCGTCGTCGTTGAAGTCAATCTTTTACACATGTAAAGCAGCAGTAGCAGCAACAAGAACAAAAAACACAAATCAAATCAATTGAGAACAGTAGAAAAGAGAAAAATCCACATGGGGAGAGAACATCATATCATTAAAGGTGTCAATGCAAGATAAATTTCTAATTGAAAAACAGAAAAGGAGAAAAAATACAAACAAACAACGGAATTCACACAAGGAGAAGTGAAGTGTCACACAAGATTAATGGAGTAAACAGAGCAACAGCAAACGTTTATTGTAATTATTACTGTGCGCGCTCTCCCTCTCTCGCTATCTTTGGTGGTGGCAACAAACAACATACACATTCAGATGGGTCACCGCTTCAGTAAAACAGCTGCATCAGCCACAAAAACACAAACAGCTGGACAAGAAATTATAAATGGTCAAGAATTACCAAATCAAATAATACCATTGACTACAGCAACAACAACAAAAACCGGGAGAATACCCATACCCAACACCAATAATAATAGTCACATTATTGAACCAACTATCAATTTACAAATACAAGAAAGTCCTACAGGAGGCATATTTCAGGCCGAGGGTGATTGTTGTCGAACTAATACTACCTGCCTGCATAGCGCAACTACTGCAACACCAAGTGGTAGTGGAGGTGGTGGCATTCTGCATCAGACCTTAGACTGCAACGGAAGCGCCAACAGCGTTAACGGTAGTTGTAGTTCAACATCGGTCAATAACTTATCTTGTGGCCGTCAGATAATTATTAAAATTCAATTGGCCAAAATGGAAAACGGAAATGAAATAACTAACACAATGTCATCCTCACCTTGTTCATCCAATAGTGCAACCCTAATCCCTCAAGACATTTCCCTTGAAGCCTTAACAGCTGATTGTAATCTAAATTCTACGGAATTAATGGCTGCAGCCACAGAAACGGCTATGCCAGCACATTTTCTAAATGTGACCCTTAATAGCAATGGTGCAGGTAGAAGTAGTAGCAGTACGCTAAATCAAGCCAATCCAACAAGAACTGCTGGCAGTTCTTTTTCATCCACCACCTTGGTTATGCCATCAGCAGCGGCAGCAACCAGCAACAATAATTATTTCAATCAAAGAAGTAGTACAAATTTTCCCAGTTCATCAACATCATCATCATCAATGGCGGATGGGGCCAGAGAACGGCTGGAACGTTTAAGTCAAGACAATGGTATTACGGAAGAAACATCCGAAGATATTGTTGAATATTGTGAAGTATTAGAAAGTGAATTGAAACCACTGGCGACGGGTGCCAGCACGGCACCAACAACTGAAGGTGGGTTATACAATTTATTGCTTTCCAAAACGTTAACTAATTCATTTTCTTTTTTTCCTTACCTTCCAGAATCTGAAATCGAATCGAATGTCTGCTGTCGGCGCAAATCAAAATCATTAGCCAACAATGGTGGCAGCTCCTCCTCCTCAAGTACAACGTCAACGAAACGTCGTTGTCGCAAATGTAGCTGCCGCGATGCATTCCGTCGGATATTGGATCCCTCGCTATCGCGATCATCTAATAAAGCACAAAAACAACAACAGCAGCAATTGGAAAGGGAACGTAAAGCAGCAGAACAGAAAGCACAAAAATCATCGGTTGAAAGACATTCCATACCTAATTTGCCCAGTAATCGAATTGTAAATGCCCTGCAATTGCAAAGAAATTCAATGCATTCCACGACCCTGGCACAGTCGACGAACGCAACAACATCTGCTGCTTTGGTATTACCATCGGCCACTGGCACCACGACGGCAACAAGCGGAGCAGCGGCGGCGACACTGTGGAATACAACGGCCTCTGCGGGCACAAATGGTAGTGATGTCATCATACCGCTGACCACGCCGTCGCAATTTGTTGTGGTTCAGTGTGCTATTCCAATAACGCCTGCAGTGACAACAGCTAATGCGATGACGTTACCCGTCAATAGCATTATATCTATAACGCAAAATCCTGTCTTATCAACAGCCTCTGTTCCCTCTACTTCCTCCGCCAATGCCTCCAACAATAATGATTTAATGGTTCAAGTTCCTTATAGCCATTGTGCGCTAAGAAATCCTTTAAAAAGCTCTATACCCACATCAACTGCAACAACAACCACAACATATCATGCTCCACCTGGTGCTGGTACCAGCAGTAGTAGTAGTAGTAGTGGCGGTAGTGTCGCTGGTGCGCCTGCCGCTGTCACCAATGGCCCCATTGTGCATTCCCAAGTGGATTTTGTCCACTATCTAGTACCCGATTTGGAACGTATAACGAATTCTAGTTTCTATTGGGGTAAAATTGATCGCTATGAGGCCGAACGTTTATTGGAGGGAAAGCCCGAAGGCACTTTTCTGCTAAGAGATTCAGCCCAAGAGGAATTTTTGTTTTCGGTAACATTTCGAAAATATGGCAGATCATTGCATGCACGTATTGAGCAAAGTGGTCATCGTTTCAGGTAAGTGTTTCTCGTTAACGCAAGAAAAAAGAAAACAAAGTTTAATATCCTCTCTTCTTCTTACAGTTTCGATTGTCATGATCCAGGCGTATTTACGGCTAGCACGGTCACCGGCCTCTTGGAACACTACAAGGATCCCGCATGTGTTATGTTCTTTGAGCCCATGCTTACCATGCCATTGCATCGTAAAAATTGCTTTTCATTACAACAATTATGTCGCGCCACCATTGTTTCGAACACCACCTATGATGGCATCAATGAATTGGAATTACCCGTTCGCCTGAAGTCCTATCTCAAAGAATATCATTATAAACAAAAGCTTCGTGTCAAATCAACTGAACCCACCTACACCGTACACTGTAAATAGTGTAGAAACATAACGGCCAACATGAGCCGTGAAGAGCAGGAGATATTACCCATAACCACTTATCACAAGGCATACCATGTTTCGCGTCAGCAATACGAACGCGATACATATCAGCAACGTTTCCTCAAATGGTATGAAGAGAAAATGCGTTCTTTAGAAGAACGCAAGAAATTGCACCGACATAAATGTGTGATTTTCTAAACACCGAGAAAGTATACTACTTAAAATAAATCTTCATACTTTTGTTATAACAGAATGTATTTAATATACTGTTAGTTATATGTATGTATTATCTTTTGTAATAATATGTAGTTGTAGTAATTAATAAGTTTGTTTTTGGGTTTTTGTGTTACTTAACCTTTGTAGTTAACAAATATGCCCACTAACTAAACTATGTAGACAGACAATCCCAGTGAATAATAGTAATAGCAAATAAAAAGAAAACATATTAATAAATCATGTATGTAGTATATCGTAGGGTATATATATTTAGCAAGCTGTAAGTGAAAGCAAAGCAAAACAAACTGTTTTAATCTATTTTGGGCAAATCAAAATGAAGGCTAACCTCTCAAAAAATTACACCATAAGTGTAAAGAAAATATTATCACTAACTTAAGCACAATTATCGTAATTGTATTTAAATAAATAAACAAAACAAAATAACTACATTTGTTATATTACGTGGTAGGCTTTCAAGGCTAACCCCCAATAACTGTGTATATGTATTTTGTTCTAGTACATATGTATTTTATAGTATAGAGAAAAAAATCAATTATGTTTATTGTTTATAAAAGTAAACAAAAAAAATTCTCATAAATTTAATTTAAACTCCATAAATTATTTATATTATATATAGTACATCTACTCTAGAGTATAGAAAGAAATTTCCAAAATGTATTTATTTTTTATTTAATTTAAATATATGATTTACAACAAGAAGTCAATTTATATTGTGTGGTTGTTTTGATGAAGATGGGGCTATCGTCGCACATTTGTGGGCATTATCAATTTTTAGTCGACATTTTTTGATTTCATTTATTTCAAAAAATTCAAAATTTCTTTAATAAGGGACATGAGTATTGAGATTCAATAACTCAGTTTTTGGTAGTCCTCAAACAAATTCGTAAAATTAAAACCCAAAATTATGAAAAGTCTAAATTAAAGTTAGCAGCACTGTTGCTATGATTGGGCCCATGGTACAAGAATACAGGTAGATACACCAACGCTTGGGAACATTGATATGTCAAAATTTTGAAAACGGTATGTCGAAAATAAGTAGTTTTTCATGACGCAAATCGGAGGTCGTTATGATTTGCAATTTTCAACAATTTTTACAAATTTCAATAATTTTTCATTTAACATTTTCAATTCCAAAATCAAACAAAAGAGTTTTAGGTTGACTTAGTTCGATTTTGGCCATAGGGCCCTGTGTTTATTTCCGAAGCCAGCCAAATACTTAAACAGGCCAAAAAACGTTTTATGGATTCTCACCTTAAAGGTAGATGCATCAGGACCAGCTAATATTGAAATATAAAAAATTATTAAATATTTTCTGCAAAAATACGTTGATTTTTAAATGCATTCTTATACAAGGAAATTCAGATGTTGTTATTTTGTATTTCTCCAATATTATAAAAGAATTATTACTTTTCTTTAAAAAAATTTGCGTTTTTATTATTTTGCCATAACGATTTCAACACAAATTTGTTTTTGTCTCCATACTCAAATATTCCAATTGCATTTGGTTTATTTTCGATTTCCTCTGTGCTTCTTTAAAATATAAAATGATTTTATTAAGTGAATAAAGGTGAGAATACATAAAACGTTTTTTTGAAAGGTTTATGTCATCGGCTGGCTTTTTCGTTAAGGAACAAAGGAGTTATAGGTTGCCCTAGTTCGATTTCGGCCCTTGGGTCCTTTTTTCGAAGAAGCCAGCCGATGACTTAAGTCAGTCAAAAAGGTGTTTTATGTATTCTTACCTTAAGAGAAAAGGTTGTAGGTCTTTTTATTGGCCAAATGTTTATCAGTGACCGCAGAGTAATGAAACAGGTGTTCCTTTACCCTTGACAGATATATACAGTCTCAATTTTCTTAAGAGGTAACAGAAGCATATTCAAGAATCTAAAGGTGGGAACACATAAAGCGCTTTTTGACTGACTTAAGTCATCATTTGTAAAAGAACAAAGAAGCGAAGGGTGAACAAGTATAAATTATGGGACAAAATCGAACTATGTCAACCTAAAACTCCTTTGTTCCTCTACGAAGGAAAGCCAATGAAAGAGAATATGTAAAAAACCATGTATTTTTGGAGATTTTTGTTATATATTGTTATATAGTGTTGATGCACCTACCTGTATTCTTCTGTCATGGTAGCAGCTGTATAGATTCGGCTACCTTTGCCATTGTACCAGGATTTATGACCATCAAAAAGCCACACTAAATTCCATTGATCTTTTACAATAAAAGCCAGGAAACCCCCTTTTAACATGCAGCTACCTAAAAAGCTTTTTTACAAGCTTGAGTCATCGGTTGGCTTTTTCGGAAAAGAACAAAGGGGCGTGGGGTGAGCAAGTATAATTTATGGACTAAAATCGAACTAAGTCAACCTTCGTTCTCCGTTGTTCTTTTACGAAGTAGCCTGCTGATGACTTAGGTTGGAAATACATAAAGCGCTTATCTGGTTGGCTTAAGTCATCGGCTGGCTTCTTCGGAAATGAACAAAGCAACCTAAAACTCCTTTGTTCATCTACGAAGAAGCCAGCCAAATATGCTCTTTATATATTCTCAAAAAATATGACAAGAAAAACTAATAAAAAAATAAACAAACCCATACGGTTTTTATTAATGATATTAGAATTGTTACGAAGTCTTCGGCACAACGGCAATTTTTGGTAAAGACTGGACAATAGAGCTTAGGAATTGATTGCCAAATTCCTAAGCTCTATTGTCCAGTCTTTTGAAAACGCAAGGTAAATCCCGACGAAGGCTTATGGAAAAAATTATCTTATAATATATTAAAACATATGCAACAAATATTATATACTTGATGCAGACTGTAAATTTAGCTTTTGCCATGGTACAACAAAAATGTAAGGTAGAACTACCAGCTGATTACAATTTTTCTGCCAATTTTGAATATATATATATTGTTTTAAAAAATAAAAAATATTTTCAAAATCAGTGGTTGGAAGAAACGTAACCAGTTCTGCCATTAAATTGAAAGATTGGACACTCTGGATCATATTTTTGAAATAAAATCCAGACACTTCGTTCATCTTTCACTTATTTAAGTCATTTTAAAAATGAGGAAAAATGTAAAATAGATGAAAACAACATGTTGTATTTAATTTTGAATAATTCTGACAAGAATAGTCCCAGAGCTGTATTTCTGTAGTTTTACGAAGTTGTTTTACCTCCTTATTGTACCATGGTTTGTGCTATGTACCTTTGCGTTATGCGTTTTACAACTTTACGCTAGCTGTATTGATTTAAACATTTCAGTGGCAATCAGCTGTTGTGTCATTTTTATAAATTACCACAAAGTGCGAACCCAGCTTGTGTTTTGACGTTTGTCATCTGACCAACGAAGAAATTTACAATTACATACACATTTTCGTTGCAGTATTCATTTTCTACCACAAAAGGCTGAAAAATTTTTAGGAAAAAATGGCTTTGCATTCAGCTATTCGTGGAAAATTGATTTCAGTCATTGGTGATGAGGTAATTTCGATTTATAAAACAGTGTTATAGTGAGAATTATATTTAACTTTGTCATTAAATTTTGTAGGACACCTGTGTTGGTTTTTTGCTTGGTGGAGTTGGTGAAATAAACAAGAACCGTCACCCAAATTTCATGGTTGTCGATAAGAGTAAGTATTCAATATGAAATTCCATAAAACATAGTCTAACATGGGCTCACATAACGTGCAGATACTGCTGTCAGCGAAATCGAAGATTGTTTCAAGCGTTTCTTGAAACGCGATGACATCGACATCATCCTAATTAACCAGAATTGCGCTGAACTTATTCGTCACGTGATTGATGCCCATACATCTCCAGTTCCTGCTGTTCTTGAAATACCCTCCAAAGATCATCCTTATGATGCCAGCAAAGATTCGATTTTGAGACGTGCCAGGGTAAGTTTTCTTTCCTTCGTTTTATAAAAACAAAAACTTGTAAAAATTGCATTTATTTGTTTTGGTTTTTTGTAGGGCATGTTCAATCCTGAAGATTTGGTTCGTTAAGGAGTTCTCAATACTGCAACAAAATCGCCGATGTCATTATGCTTCAAATCCCAAAATCGCTTTAAGTTATACTTTTGTGAAAATACTATAATATAGTGCCGGGCGGTGACTTGTAAAGTGCTATGTGTTTTAGTCCCTATCAGTAATTTAAAAAAGCAGGTGACTGGCGAAATTCTTAGATTTCTATATTGTTTCTTCCATTCCATATTCATATCGTTAGGTGTCACCTGAAAGTGCAATTTTATTTTGTTCTGAGGTGGTTCACCAATTATGATGACATTTTATTTTCAACTTTGTATTCTTTTGTGTATAGCTGTTTATTGTTGGTTGTTCTAAACTGTATTACAAATAAAACAAAAGAAAATTACCCAATAAATACATAAGTAAACTAAAACATATTAAAATATAACGATAACAAAATGCATCAAGACGCTACCTTGGTTATGACTTCATCTGCAATTTTTTTAATTTGGTATTTAATAAGGATATGCTGAAATGTCAACAACTAAAATTAAAAAAAAAAAAAAAAAACTTCTAAATAACTTTGGCTTGAGATCAATTGAAAAATCAGTGTTTTATATTTTTTTATTTTTTGATGTTTGACTGCCTTTGACGGGGAAATTTTTTGAGAAACCCAAGAGTTTTGTCTCATAGTCTATGATCTGATCAACATTGATTTAGAAAAAAATTGCCACTGAAAAATGTTAATAACACGGTACCTAAACATTTTTCTTGAAATCAGTATAACTTTTTTTAATAATTGTTTATACCTTCAGCCATTTAGATACTGAGGGTATATAATTTGATACGTCCAAAACGTGCATTATCAAAAAACTTGTCTAAAACTGTCTCTTTGTACAAAATCAGACCATTTGGAGTCGATCTAGGTGTTTTTGTCCGTCCGTCTGTCTCCGATTTCGTCCAGACTTAGTAATACTATTATCAAACATATATCGATTTCGGAGATGAGCAATATCGGTACGCTCCCGGTACATCCCCCACAAAAGTTCAAAATTTTCAAAGAAAATAATTTGACTTATAGAAGGATTCATTCGATTTTACTCAAGCTCTGTATTTCCTAATATTTGTGGCAGTGCCTGGTCCGCAACCGCAAATATAAGTAGATTTTTATAAGTACTTATACGACGTCAATAGGAGGTTATTTAATATGCGTTTTCAACAATTTTCACAAATTTGAATAATTTTTCATTCCAAATGTTCAATTCCAAAATTGGTTTGATAGTTTATAGTACCGTCACCTGTGTCGATGCGTCTATCTATATTCTTCTACCATGGGTGAGGGGATAGAGCGGAAATTATGAAATTTGATGTTGAGGTCACTGTCGGTTTCTAGGTCGTCGTTGAATTTGGACAGAAAAATTTTATGTGGGTCTATTTTGCAATGGTTTCAGTAATATCCTCATCGGTAAACTTAACCAGTAAGGGAAAGTCAAAAGTCGGGCTGGTCCGAATATATGATACACTACATCAATCACTATGCATATTTAGTGGAGATGCCATAACAAAATCAAAATTTGGCTTTAGAGCAGTTACAATTTGGCTTCAAAGGAAACTCATATATGGGAGGCATATCCAATTCTGAATCGATTTTCACTAAAATTGACGGAGACATTTTTATCTTTAATACCAAATAACATTGCTATAGAGTGCATGACATCACATCGAGAAGGATTCGAAGGATTCCGAATTCCACCAAATGGAAATGTACATCCCGAAATTCACTCCATTTGCTGTGGCCATTATTTGCACAATAAATCTGAAATCAGATTTTTACCAAATTTTATGTACTTGCTTCTATTCTGAATTCGGTCGGATGTACCCAAATTCAGGTCATTTGTAGTGATATTGGCCATTTGGTTCAAAATTAACTCGAAATCGGTTGAAGATATATATGGATCTATATCCAAATCTGAACCGATATAGAAACAATTTGGTACAGGTATTTCTGGGCTGTATCTGATATGTGGTACCAAATACCATTCTTGTGGGGTAAATATTACGAACATGAGGGACTTAAAGACCAAATCTGATAAAACATACATATGGGAGCTATAGCTAAATCTGAACCGATTTTCACCAAATTGTATGTATTTGCTTCTAGACTGACTTGCTTCGGTTAGATGTGAAAAAATTCAGGTCATTTGGACTGATATTGGCCATTTAGCGGTTGAAGGTATATATATGGGAGCTATATCCAAATATGAACCGATCTTGTTACAATTTGGCAGAGCTATTTTCGGGCTGTATCTGGGACCAAGTATCATTCTTGTGGGGTACATATTACGGATAAATCGGATGAAACATATATATCTGAATTTGGTGTACTTGCTTCTAGACTGAATTCGGTCGGATGTGCCATATTTGGGCTGATATTCGCCATTTAGTGCACAATTCGTTCATTCGTTTATTTCTGACATTTTCGTTGACGTTTTTTAGTTTTGATGTTTTTTTTTTTCAAAAAAAGTACATTTTTATGTTTTCCTATGCGATGCCAATCGGAAGGTTGTTATGAAATGCATTTTTCTCCAATTTTAACAAACTTGAATAACTTTTCATTCAAAATTGATTTGACAGTTCATTGTCCCAGCAGCTGTGTCGATGCGACTACCCGTATTCTTTTATCATGGATCTACATATTAACGGAATGCTTTATGCGGTACACTCAATAGTTACGAGTGTTTCCTCAAAGGCGTCGTTTAGTTTTTTGCATTCCAACCACAACAAAACTAATATTGTATTATCTCATAACAATACATTTGAACATGCATTAAGGTGGGAATACATAAAGCGCTTATCTGGCTGACTTCAGTCATCGCCTGGCTTCTTCGGAAATGAACAAAGGAGCCTAGGGACAAAATCGAACTAAGTCATCCTAAAACTCCTTTGTTCATCTACGAAGAAGCCAGCCGATGACTTAAGCCAGCCAAATATGCCCTTTATGTATTTCCACCCTTATTTTCTTCCATTCCATATTAATTTGATATGTTCACATGTGCACAAATTGCAAGACTGATTAGAATTAAGGTGAGTACACACAAAAAACTTATCTGACTGGCTTATGTCATCGGCTGACTTCTTTGTAAAAGAACAAAGGAGCGTAGGGTACACAAGTATAAATTATGGGCCGAAATTTAACTAATACAACTTAAAACTACTTTCTTCAGTTACGAAGGAGCCAGTCATTCGGCTTATAAAAAAATTGCCAGACAAACAGCTGATTTTCTTAAAAGTCCACAGCTGGATTTTTACCTTTTTACAAATGAGAAAAAAACTTTATTGAAAAATAATAACAAAATAAAAACACATTTATAAAGAAAGTAAATTAAAAAGCAAACACCATAGCAACTAAAGCAAAGATGGCAGTGAATCCAATTGCCATGAAACGACCAGCTGATGAGTTGCTGTTGCACAAATCGCCAGAGCAGGTGTGGCAGCTGTCAATTTTACGGCTGTGAGATACAGTACAAACATTGGGATCGGAACCAATACTTTGGAAGTGACAATCGCGTGATATAATGACGCCGGCTTTATCTGAAAATGAAGAAAATTTATTTATTGGATATTGTTATAAATTGCTAATGTAAGGTGCAAATACATAAAGTTCTTTAATAACTTAAAGGTGAGAATACATAAAACTCTATTTTTGACTGATCTAAAGGTTAGAGTACATAAAACGCTTTTTTGGCTGGCTTAAGTCATCGGCTTACTTCATCGGAAAAGAACAAAGTGACGTAGTGCAAAAATCGAACTAAGTCAACCTAAAAGTCATTTGCTCTGTTACAAAGAAGCCAGCCTTTTATGTACTCTCACCTCAAAAGTGAGAATACATATTTTTTTTGACTGGCTTAAGTCATCAGCTGCCTTCTTCGGAAAAGAAAAAAGGAGCGTAGAGCCAAAATCGAACTATGTCAACTTGAAAGTCTTTTTTTCCTCTACGAAAAAGGCAGCCGAAAAGCTTTATATATATATTCCTACTTTAAGTCATCGGCTGACTTCTTCGTAAAAGAACAGAGGAGCCTACGGTTAACAAGTATAAATTATGGGCCAAAATTGAACTAAATTAACCTATATTACCTTGCTAGTAAAAAAAGCTCTTTATGTATCTGAACCTTGACATTTTTATATGAAATTCACCTACATATTTTCGAAAAATATAGGCAAGAGTTCGAGTTAAAAATTGAATGGTGTAAATTCAAAATATTCTATGGTTCAAAGTACTGTGCAGTAGTTTAACTCTAATTAACAACGCAATTGAACAATTGGTGACTTTGTAAAAGCGTCTGTTTGTTTTGATTAGTAACAAAGCTTTTGTTTTGTAAAACAAAGCTTTACACCTTCAATTATTCGGGTCGTAACAACTATGAACGGATTGTATCAAAGGCAGAGATGCGTATTTTGAATGTTAACAATGGAATTTTTAGAAATCTGACGTCATAGATTTATGAGTAAATTGAAAAGAATTCACCAAGACGATACAACACACAAAATGTTCGCAAATGTTATGTTGTTTATTTATTTCTATTGGCCATATGTTTAATGTTTTTGTAGCCGTGTGGTGGGAGGCCTTCCCCATAGATAGATAGGCCGTATGTAGAAGCAACCATTGCCAAATTTATTTAACACGGAATATGAGAAATGACATCACTGTATCGAGCAAACACAACAAAATTTCCATTGGCATTTGCTGATTTGAATTTTAAGTTTTTTTTAAACAATATGTATTTTTTAATTTATTTTTGCAAAAAAAAAAAAAATAATGGATAACAAATCAATAGAAGAGTTTAATAATATGCTGTTTTCCTCATGTTTTTCATATTCTGTTTAAAAAGGTGTGGTCGATTTGAAAATGTGGATCATGAACATACAACCCGGCTTAAGTTATCAGCGGGCTTCTTCGTAGAAGAACAAAGGAGTTTTAGGTTGACTTAGTTCGATTTTGGCCCTACGCTCCTTTGTCCTTTTCCGAAGCATCCAGCCGATGACTTAAGTCAATGAAAAGCTTTTTATGTATTCTCACCCTTACACTCTGCCATTTAATCGCCAATACAAAAATATCTGTTTAAAACTTACCACTTGTGACAACACGATTGCACTTTGTAACTGGCATATATTGATCCATAGAATTTGGTTTCGGTACAGTATCGCAGTCAACAACTGCAATGCGGGAATTTTCATCGATCATGTCACTGGCACATCCGGGATCAGTAATCGATTTACATTTATAACATTTGATGGCATTAGCTGGAAATAAAAGGGGATGAAATGGGGGAATATTAGAAAAATGTGTGTAAAAATTGGTAGAGTTTTACATTTGCTCTGTTCCAGTGCCTGCAAGCATCTACTAGTTTTGGATTTTTTTTTCGGTATCATAAAGGGAAAATCGGTTATAAAATTAAAGCAAAATCGGTTACAAAACTTTTACATTCTTGCAGATCTGCAACAGACCAATTAAGTTATATTGTAGCATTGTAAGAAATCTTGACCTTTTATTCAGTTTTCGCGTTTTTTACGAACTTTGAATACGAAATTTGAAAGGATTCCGGTGAATAATGTCGCTAAAATCATCAAAATACTGAATAAAGTGAGGTACCGTTTTATAGGGGCTATACAAAGATGTGGACCTGCATACGAAATTTTTAGGCATAGCTTGTAGTATTTATTACACATTTCGAATACGAAATTTGAAACAATTCGAGTTAATGATGTCGTTTAAATCATCAAAATACTGTTTATCGGGCGATACATACTTTAAAGGTCCTATCATGAATATTTTTAGAATTACAAACGAAATAATAGCTAAAAACGCCGAAAATTCAATATGTAAGGAGTTATGGCCATTTTAAAGTTTTCGATAATTCATGCTTAAAAAAGTGATCACAAATAATAGCTAAAATCGCCGAAAACTCAATATTTAAGAAGTTATGGCCATTTTAAAGTTTTCGATAATTCATGCTTATAACCTCCATAGAATGGTGATACACAAATTTTTTCAATTTTGTTAATTTAGTTTCATCGGCTGTTCGTTAGCATCATTATTGTCAACTGATCTTGACGTTTTTGCGTAGTTGCCACTTTTCCGTTCCCGTATATTTTTAACTTCTTTTTTCTGTAACAACATTTTTTGACACATTGCTCTTTTGCTACTTTTTCTAAAAAAAAAAGTACGGAGCTTTATTTGTTTTGTAAACAAACAAAACAATATGAAGACAAATCATGTTTATGTACGTGGTTTTAAATCACATATTGTGACACCCAGTAATTGCTAGTTTATATTCTCCACCTGCGGTTAAACCTCTTTAAAATATGACGCATTAGCCAATAGGCATTCAAATTATGATTCTAATTTTAAAATACATTCTCTAACTGACCACCATAACAATCTAAACGATTAGTCATATTTATGTTTTATTAAAGTATGCCGCAAATTATGTTATATTTTCAAAACCAGTAAATGTACCGAAATTAAAGTAAAAAAATGGAAGTAGTAATTTTTTGAAAAAAAAAATATATATAAATTGACTCAAAGGCATGTGTATCCATATGTATAGAATTTTCAGCCGGATAGAAAAAAGTCGATATACTTATAATTCTTTTTATACCCTCTACCATACAAAGGTATATTAAGTTTGTCATTCGGTTTGTAACATTTTATTTTCAGGGTGAGTTGAAAAAAACTGCAACCAACTTCTGACTGCTGTCATTTCTATGCCACTCGTCCGACAGCTGTTAAAATTATTCCAGTGACAGCTAATTATATTATTCACAAGCGTACAAAAGTATTTTGGTGAGAATTTGGCAGAAAAAAGTTATTCGTGATGTCATTCAAGCGTGATTTCTTTACATTTGGCTGGATAACCAAAAGTGACTATTGTTAGAGCACTCCAGCATTTAAATGTGAATAAATCTTTTGTGTCTCGTACCATCGCTCGTTTCCGTGATACTGGTAGCGTAGCCCGGCGTCAAGGAAGTGGACGGAAGTAAACAGCAACATCAGCAGAATTGGTTCGAAAAGTAAAGAAACGACTAGATCGAAACCCGAGTCGCAGTGACCGAAAAATGGTTGGTTAGCTGAAAATATCGCAATATTCCATTCGGAAAATATTGAAAACTGAGCTCGGGGTAAAGCCATTGAAATTCCTAAAAGTGTAAGAACTTACACTGCACCAGAAAGAAAATAGACTCAAAAGAGCTAAAGAGTTGCTTCGCTTGGCCGAAAGTGGTGACGTTTTCATTGACCGCTTGAAGGCCGTAATTCGTGCCAAAGGTGACCAATTCGAACAAATCTAAACTTATTCTAAAATTTCATGCTATTTCCGACATTTTTTGGTTTCATTCAATAAAATTTAAAATAAAAATGTAAAAATTTTGGCGTTTGACTTTGTTGCAGTTTTTTTTTTATCTCACCCTGTATATATTCCTGATCAGGCATAAAATTCTATGTCTATTCTGTGGAAATCACTGTAGCTTTCGAACGAATTGAAGTAGATTGATAAAATTTTACCCAGATATGTCTTTAGGACGTTTGTTATTGAAAATGGGATATGTAGGTCCACGTTTTGATACAGCTGCCATAAAAGTACACCCCTATATTCGGTATTTTGATGATTTTAGCGTTATTATTCATCGGAATTGTTTCAAAATTCATATTTGAAGTGCCTTATGAATATTGCACTCTATGACAGAAAATTGTCTATGAAGGCTCAGATCTTCGTATAGCCCCCATATAACGGTACCTCCCTCTAATCGATATTTTGCTGATGTCAGCAACAATATTCAGCGCAATTGTTTCAGATTTCTTATTTAGAGTTCGTAATGGGAACTACAGTCTATGATAGAAAATTGTCTGTGCAGGTCCAGGTCTTCGTATACGCCCCATATATCAGTACCTCGGTATTTTGCTGATTTCAGCGGCGAATAATGTTGCTATGCTATATCAAAACGAGAACCTGCCCAGACAATTTTCTGTCATAGGCTGTAGTATCCATTACGAACTGCAAAAAACAGATTTGAAACAATTCCGGTGAATAATTTTGCTAAAATCATCCAAATATCGAATATCGTGAGATACCCTTATATGGGGGCTATACGAAGACATGGACCTGCAGAGATAATTTTCTGTCATAGGCTGTAGTATCCATTACGAACTGCAAAAACCAAATTTAAAACTATTCCAGTGAATAATGGCGCTAAAACCATCAAAATACCGAATATCGGGAGGTACCGTTATATGGGGGCTATACGAAGACATGGACCTGCCCAGACAATTTTCTGTCATAGGCTGTAGTATCCACTACGAATTTTAAATATCAAATTTGAAACAATGCCGGTGAATAATGTCCCTAAAATCATAAAAATACCGCATATCGGGAGGTACCGTAATGTGAGGGCTATAGGAAGACGTGCACCTACAGAGACAATTTTTTGCCTTAACCTTTAGTATACATTACGAACTTCAAATACCAAATTTTAAACAATTCCAGTGAATAATGGCGCTAAAATCGTCAAAATACCGAATATCGGGAGGTACCATTACATGGGGCTATACCAAAACGAGGACCTACATGGCCCATTATAAAAGAATAAGGATAAATACGAAATAAAAATATTCTATGTGCTTTTCAAATATTAGGTTTTAAATTAAGCAGAAACTTTAGAAACCTAGGAACAAAAAACTTTGTTTTTTCCTTCGCATTCGACTTCATATCCCACGCCTCGATACTCGCTTGATTTACATTTATTAACATTTTTGTTGTTGTAAAAATATTCCAGTATTGTTATTACTGCTGTGTGACTTTGCTTTTGCGTTGTAAGTATAACAACAACAATACAAGACGACTTAACACTGATGATGTCAAATATTTTGTTATTTAAATATTCAATTCACAAACTGGCAATGGGAAGCAAGCAAATGTTCGATATTCTCAATGGAATACCTGTGTCTAAACAAACAAGTTTTTAACAACTTTTTCCTAACAAAAACTGTATATAGTATAGGCAGATTTGTTACTTATTGCACTCAAATGCAAATTCAAAATTCACATGCACAAATATTTCAATATCGTATTGATGAAACACCTCACTTACCGCTATTTACCAAACACAGAGCAAAAACGCTCAAAACAATCAAAATATTTTTTTGCATTTTTATTTTTGGTTGGGTGTTTGACGGCTGTGTTACTTTGAGATGTTTAAGGCGACGACGTTTGCGAACGACTGATGTGTGTGGAGACTTAATTGAATAGCAATACGACATCTTTAGATATTCGAAATCGAAAGCTAAACTGAAAATCTACTTCAAAACAATATCTAATGCTCGCAAAGCATTCTCCGTGTTGGTATGTTGATCATGAACGCGAGACACAGTGTTTTGAGGGAGATTGGAAATTATTTGAAAGAAATTGGCGTCGGTGGAAAGATGCAATTTTGTTTTGTTAGGTGACTTTTAATAGGGAGTTGTGGATTTTTATACCCTCCACCATACATGTATGGAGGGTATATTAAGATCGTTATTCCGTTTGTAACTCATCGAAATAATAATTTTTGACCTTAAAAGTTATATATATTCTTGATCAGCGTAAAATTCTTAGACGATTTTGCACAGTCTGTCCGTCTGTTGTAATCACTCTAGAGTCAAAACAAATAAAGATAGAAAACTCAAATTTTGCATAGATCAGTCTTTTAACGACATCCCCCGATTTGCTGATTGTAGCCAATTTTTTCAATGAAATTGTCTGAAAATCCATAAAATGAGTTCCTTCTGAGAAAATTTACCCCCTGGAAGAGTATTGTCTATATAGATCCACGATACCGGATAGCCCCCACATAACGGTACTCCCCCGATATTCGGTATTTTGATGATTGTAGCCAAATTTTTCAATGAAGTTGTTTGAAAATCTGTAAAAGGAGTTCCTTTTGAGAACTTTGCCCCTTGCGAGAGTTTTGTTTAAATGGGTCACCGATATCGTATATCCCCCATATAACGGCACCTCCCCATATTCGATATTTTCATTATTTTAGGTATGTTTTTCAATGGAACTGTCTAAAAATCCATACTGGAAGTTCTTTTTAAGCACTTTACTTCCTGGAAGAGAAACGTCTGTATAGGTTCACGATATCGCATAACCCACATACAACGGTACCCCCGATATTCGATATTTAAGGGTTTTTAGGAACATTAGTTACCGGAGTTGTTTCAAATTTCGTATTTAGAATTCGTAATGGGTACTACAGCCTATGACAAAAGATTGCGTATGCAGGCCCAAGTCTTCGTATAGCCTCCATAAAACGGTATCTCCCAATATTCTGTATTTTGATCAGTTTAGCTACACTATTCACCGGAGTTGTTTCAAATTTCGTATTTATAGTTCGTAATGGAAACTACAGTCTATGACAGAAAATTGTCTATGCAGGTCCAGGTCTTCGTAAAGCCTCCATAAAACGGTATCTCCCAATATTCGGTATTTTGATGAGTTTAGCAACATTATTCACCGGAGTCGTTTCAAATTTCGCATTTAGAGATTGTAATGGGAACGGCAGCCTATGACAGAAATTTGTCTATGCAGGTCCAGGTCTTCGTATAGGCCCCATATATCAGTACCGCCCTATATTCGGTATTTTGACGGTTTTTGGGTACAATATTCACCGAAATTGTTTGAAATTTCGTATTTGAAGTTCCTAATAGGTACAACAGCCTGTGACAGAAAATTGTCTATGCAGGTTCAGGTATTCGTATAGGCCCCATAGGTCCAGGTCTTCGTATACCTCCCTATATTCGGTATTTTTAAGATTTTAACAGAATTTTTAACGGATTTTATTTACTTTTTTTAAAATTTCTTCCAAATGGTAGAGAATTCAACGTTCGACACGGCCGAACTTACTGGTTTTATACTTATTTTATTTCCTTCGGTTATATCATGGTAAAAATTGTAAAAAATTGTAAATATGTGATTGAATGACTTTACGTACTACCATGGGTTACATTCATGGTACAATAAGGAGGTAGAACAGCTTCGTAAAACTACTACTTCGTAAAAATACAGCCCTGAGGCTATGCCCGCTTCCTTTCAGAATTATTCAAAATTATAGGCAACAAGTTGTTTTCATTTATTTAATATTTTTTGTTCCTTTCTAAAATGAGTCAAATAGCGCGAAATATGAGTAAAATACTTGGATATTCTCTCAAAAATATGTTCCTAAGTGTTCAATCTTCCGATTCCATAGCAAATCTGGTTTATGTCATTAATGCGCGCCCCGCAATTAAAGTTTCTTCCAATCATTGATTTTGCAAATATTTTGTTTTTATTGGCAGAAGTCGGGCCCGCTTAAAAAATTGTAATCAGGTGGGAGCTCTACCTTACCTTTTTATTGTACTATGGTTACATTGTGATTATATTTTATTTTCAAAAAAATGTATGATATCGAAAAAAAAATTGCAAAAATTGTAGATTCTTCTTCGGATATTTTGGTGGCCACTGCGCGCTGGAAATGAAGCGAGGAACCTCATTTTGTTACCATTCTTGGATGGCGCGTGCTGAGTCCTGTAGGAATATCCAAGTTCTGCGGCCAAAATGTTTGCGTGGCCAAGGCTTTAATACACCCTCCAAAATATTTTCGCGATAATTTTCGGCATTTATTCTGATGCCACGGTCGATTAATACGAGCGGAGAGCGACCATCGGATGTTATGGCGGCCCACACCATCACCATGATCGGCGCTTGCGTTCTGGTGGCCAACCGAAGGTGCACATTTTCAGCTGATCTCTATGGCAAGTACACGTGATCATTTTGTTTGTTTACAAATTGCTGGAAAACAAATGTTTCCTTATCGGAGAAAACCAAATTCGGAAGTTAACCACTTTCGGCCAAGCGAAGCAACTCTTTAGCTCTTTTGAGTCTATTTTCTTTCCGTTGCGGTGTAAGTTCTTGCACTTTTTGGAATTTCAATGGCTTTAACCCGAGCTCATTCTTCAATATTTGCCGAATGGAATATTGCGATATGTTCAGCTCATGAGCCTTTTTTTGGCCACTGCGACGCCGGTTTCGATCAAGTCGCTTATTTACTTTTCGAAGCATTTCTGCTGATGTTGCTGTTCCCACCACTTCCATGACGTCGGGCTACGTAGTACCAGTATCAGGGTAACAAGCGATGGTATGAGACACAAAAGATTTATTCACATTTCAATGCTGGAGTGCTCTAACAATAGCCACTTGTGGTTTTCCAGCCAAATAAAAAGAAATCAGACTATCACGCTTGAATTCCATTACGAATAACATTTTTTCTGAAAAATTCTCAGCAAAATGCTTTTGTACGCCTGTGAACAATATAATGAGCTGTCACTGGAATAATTTTAACAGCAGTCGGGCAAGTGGCTTAGAAATGACAGCAGTCTGAAGTTGGTTGCAGTTTTTTCATCTCACCCTGTATGTATGTACTTTAAGCTGGAAATACATAAAGCGCATATTTGGCTGGCTTAAGTCATCGGCTGACTTCTTCGGAAATGAACAAAGGAGCCTAGGGCCAAAATCGAACTAAGTCAACCTAAAACTTCTTTGTTCATCTACGAAGAAGCCAGCCGATGACTTAAGCCAGCCAAATATGCGCTTTATGTATTTCCAGCTTAACAGTACGTTTATATATATGAGGGTTAACCCACTGGATTGGATTTAAATTGTCATATCCATTACTTTTACTTCAAATAAATCCTCTCAAAGTAGGTTAACCCTACAAAAAGTTCTAACGTAAACATGGCATAAGATGAGACAAGACAGAGTCAAAATATTGTCACCAGGGGTATTTGCCTTACGATATCATAAAAACATAATCACCAATGTTAAGCTATTTTAACAGAAAATGCAATTTTCAATGAATTGAAAATGCCAGTGGAATTTAATTTTGTGCCAAGATTTTTGGTTGACCGAAATTTTTTTTCGTAAAACTGCTCCGTAATTTTGTTTTTTATGCTAACATGTCTCTGTTGTGAGCAGCGCATCTACATATTTTCACATTAACTATTATTCCATAACGTATTTTGTTCACTTCTTACCATTTTAGGTCTTTGCTTTGGTTCTCTACGAAGAAGCCAGCCGATGACTGAAGCCAGTCAAAAAAGCCTTTTATGTACTCTCCCCCTTAAGGTGAGGGTACATACGCAGCTTGGTATCATGGCTAGGCATTTTAATGTCAAATTATAGGGAACAACGACGGCAGGATTTGAATGCGGCTCTGGCATCACTTTATGATATGTCTGAAAATATGCCATGCGAAGACTTCAAGCTGTTTATGTACTCTCACCTTTATCGTCTCATAGCATCTTTATATTTAAAATATATGAACTCAATTGTTTTGTCTGTCATAAACGCATTTATGAGTTCCATCCACCGTGCAAGTTGTATGAATTGAAAAAAAATTATTTAAGCTTTTTTTCTTGCTCTCACAGCCAAAGATCAAATTGCTTTGCTAAAGGTTAAGAGACAGCATGATTCTCAACATTCATGACTTCGAATTTTATGGAAAAATATGCAAAAGATCAAAAATTAATATGCATATTAATAATATACATATATACATGCATATATTTAATTAATTATTTGGGTGTGTGGTATTGAATGAGTCGATAGGCATGAGATAGTGAGTAAAATAATCTTTGTATGATTTGATTTCGAAAAGCAAAAGTGTTTCAGAAATTGTTTTCACAAGTTTTGTCTCTCTGTCGGATTTTCAAAGTTAACCAGTTTTGTTAAACTTAAATAATCACACGACGCGATTTGCGGGTTACAATCAAAGGTTTATATATATGTTCTGAACTTTTTTATGACCACAATTTCAGCAAAATGTTTATGTGCATGCAAAAACCAAATCTTTTTAAAAAAATATCAATATCAACTATTGTCTTTGGCAAAAGCTTTTTGCGATACTTTGATCATGTCTCATTCTACAACACACAGTGAGCTTTTTCCAAGCAACAAGATGTAACAGTTAATCATTGCTGTCGCACTGTTTGAAATCATTTTATTTTGCTACACTTATTCGTATATTTTAGTGGCATGACCGCAGCTTTATTTTCGTTTGTTTTTGGTTTTTTTTTTCGAATGCAACCACATACTTTAATTGCCCAATGACATACTTTTGTTTGCCTTGCATGTGGAAAAATAACAGTAACAGAAACAAGTTTTTCTGCATTGAAAATTGTTGTGGTCTTAGAAGATCGCAAGTCAATGAACTGGACAATAATATTTACTTTTTTTTCGAAACACGAAAGTTGTCAAAGCAAATAGGAGGAGAATAAAAATTATTAGCTGTGTTTTATGTTAACTAACCCCGCGTTTACAAAAGACTAGAAAAGTGAGTTCGCGTATTAGTTGTGATAGGAACAAATTTTGCCCGTGTGACCTCGGTGTCCAGACAGTTGCAAAAACAATTACGAATGGAACTTTTAAAATATTATTTGTTAATTTTTATATATTCCCTGACGTATTTCGATTTTTTTATAATTTGTTTGGAAGTCAAAAATTGTTTCCATTTACTATTCTTCAAAAATGCTATATAGTAGGAAACGTACGTCTGTGGCATGGTACAATTAAGACGATTTTGACAATGAAATATTGTCAAATAAAAATTTAAAAAAATCTCTTCCGGTGGGTAAGGTGCTTAGAAAGAACTTCTAAAATGGATTTTTAGACAATTCCATTGAAAAATGTAGCTAAAATCATCTAAATACCGAATATTGGGAGGTAACGTTATATGGGGGATATACCGTATCGTGGACCTATATAGACATTATTCTTTCAGAGGGTAAATTACTCAGAAGGAACTTCTTTTGTGGATTTTCAGACAATTTCATTGAAAAAGTGGCTACAATCATCAAAATACCGAATATCTGGGGATACCGATATATGGGGGCTATACGATATCGTGGACCGATGTAGCTCACCTTTGAACTTAACATACTTGCAGACAAAATACTGATCTGACGAAAATTATAGCTTCCTATAGATGAATTAAGCTACGAATGACGAATGTGGATGGAGGGTATAAAGGTGTAAATACATAAAAAGCTTGAAGTAATGGCTCTGTAATCCCTTTATGAAATGTCACAACATATGCCTAGCCATGACTTCAAGCTTTTTATGTGAGTGAAAAATCACGATTAATGTCCCATTTAGACTAATCATGTTAATGGTCTGTTCCAGAACTGCTAGCATGTAAAAGTTTTTATTATGATAACTGATATTCTCTTTATGATATCGAAGAAAATTGCAAAACTATTAGATTCTTGCAGGTTCTGGAACAGAGCTCGACTTCTAAATCCTACTTCTTTAGACTAGTTTACAATGATGTAAAATGTCAGTCAGCTGATCTTTGTTTACGTATATATACACGCGTTTATAGCTGATGTTTCCAGTAAAAATTTGCAAAGTCTAAGGGTGTAAGTACATAAGAAGCTTCAAGTCATGGCTAGGCATATTTTGTGACATTTCATAAAGGGATTAAAGAGCCGCATTAAAATCCTGCCGTCGTTTGCAATTATAATTTGACATTAATATGCCTAGCCATGACTTCAAGCTTTTTATATACTTGCACCTTAAGTAACTCAACTGCCAAATCTGCTGTCTTTACTCGCTCTCATTTACTGGACTATTGAGTTATCGATATTTATATCGACATAGGACAGTATTAGAGTAAAATAATTCAACCGCTTTTCCAAAGGCCTAAAAAACCTAGAGCACGTACAAAAATCTATAACACAATAGAGTCCTACATTGTGTTATAGATTTTTGTCATTTTTCTTAATTTATTACGTATTCCAAAAGGATAAAGCTTCTTAAGGTGCTGGTACATGGCATATTTTGTGACTTTATCATAAAGGGATGAGAAGAGCCGCACTCAACTTCTGTCGTCATTTTCCTTTATAATTTGGAATTAATATGCATAGCTATGATGCCAAGCAGCTTATGTGGCAAAAGCTTTATGATTTTTTACTTGTTGTTATATACAGTCGTTAAAAATGGCGTTAAGTTATCTAAACTTTGACAATAATGATAACAAATGATAACAAAAACTTAAGTTATGTCAGGTATTGGAATATCTTGATGGCCATCCATGGCAGCATCAGCATGGACTTCAAACATGGGCTCACCAGAAAAGAAACAATACAAATATGGTTAAATTTATTAAAATTGTTCAAATCGAATGCATTGCTAGACATATTAATTTCGTACTCGGCTGGATGACGCAACATTGGAGACGAAACAGTACAATACTCATTGCAAATATTTGCAAGCGTTTCCCTGTATATTAACTCATTACAAATAATGAAAAAACTAATGTTAAGTTAAATTCATGACTTTTTATTTATTTATTATGTCTTTATGTTTTGTTATGTTTTGATTGGCAACTCTAAATGTACCAGTCATTTCGCACAACAAACGAAAAAAATTAATGTTTGTGTCTTTGTGTGAACTTTATGTTGATCGTTTCGTTTGTTTTCCTTTGTATGATAATGTGTGTACCCTACTCTATACATTTTAATCGTTTATCGATACAGCACAAGCCCGTCGAATGTCAACTATTAGATCCCTATCACAGCTGATATGATAAGGGATGCCGTTCGTTCTAAACGTAACATAAAACACGGCAACCCCGTTTGTATCATTTTGTGTCTTTGTTTATATTGGTATTTGGCTTGTAGTCACTACGCTTCATTTCAGACTGAATTAATAATCCAAGAAATATGAGTGAAAATCAAGATAATGACATATTGGAAAACTCTAACAATGCAACTGGAAAAAATACAACTGAGGAAAATCAAGTTGACGCAATTGATGGCGATAAGCCAAAGCAACGCATTGCACTGCTTACCGGCATCACAGGACAGGTAGAGAAAAATGAAACAACAAATCAATTTTACAGATAATACGACGTGTTATATTGATAATAGTTTTACAATAGTTTAAATATTTTATAAAACTTAATCATTGATGGCATTGATTTAATACATGTGTTCACTATACTAGTTTGAGTGACTCAGTGTTCGATGGATATGTGTTTAGATAAGGAAAAAAAAAACGAAAACTAAATGTGTTCTACATAACACTTAGCTTTATATTAGATATACATGGCTAATTAAATTCTGTGTGTTTTTTAGGATGGCTCATATTTAGCTGAATTTCTTTTGAAGAAAGGCTACGAAGTCCATGGCATAATACGCCGCGCCAGTACCTTTAATACATCGCGCATTGAACATTTGTATGCTGATCCCAAGGCCCATAAGGGTGGCTCCATGAAATTACACTATGGCGATATGACGGATAGCAGTAGTTTGGTGAAAATCATTAATACAGTCAAACCTCAAGAGATTTATAATCTGGCTGCCCAATCTCATGTTAAAGTGTCGTTTGATTTGAGCGAATACACCGCCGAAGTTGATGCAGTTGGTACACTGCGTATATTGGATGCAATAAGGACGTGTGGCATGGAGAAACAAGTCAAATTTTATCAAGCATCTACCTCCGAATTATATGGCAAGGTGGTGGAGACACCACAGAACGAACAAACACCCTTTTATCCGAGATCACCATATGGTATGTTAAGATAATACTTATAACTTTAAAAAAGACCTGTCACATAGACTGATTGATTGCAGATATGATAGATATATAACAAAATGATCACAAGTTTTTTTTTATAATTTCCCACATCGTATTCTATAACTTTTGCGGTCGTCGTTTAAATTTTTGTTGTGATTAGCGTCAACAATGCCGTTGTTAAAAAAAATGAGGGACATAATTGTGGGCGTAAGTTTTAAACATCAATAAATGCTTAAAAACTGGCTATATTTAAATACCTAGTTCATTCCATCTGTAATAATGTCAATCCAGCTTGGACTTACTTATCAGATAATTTTTCTCTGTTCTAGAGATATAACACAATTAATTTTGAGCCTACGAATAAGCTTAAAAGTACAAAATATCCATCACCAAAAACCTTATCGCAAAGTAAGAATTAACTTCGCCGTATAAAGTCATCATTAATTACATATAACAAAACATTTCTATGAGGCCATTGACATACATGTCCGCACTAGATTATATTTAGAAGAAGTAAAATAGTATCAGTCGGGTTTGCCGACAGATGTATACCCCAGTCTTGAGTTATGATTATTCAAACTGTTGATCCTTTATGGGGGAGGTTCCGAAGTTGGCCAATATTTACCAATTTGTGTCTGACCTAAGACTAATATAAATACTAAAACGAGCCAGATTTGGACTATGTCAGCTACTTCCTATACTTTATATGGATATCTGCAAATTTTTGGAAAATGTGGAACAAATATAGCGGACCGAAGTATTCCATTTTCAGACTCCATCTAATATAATTTGAAGGAAATCGCACTTTCATATCCAATTTTATGCGAAATCATAATTTCCGATAAATAACATATTCACATCAGATTTCCGGTTAAGAGAAATATTTAGATATAGCAAATTGTAAAGAATCGCCGACTTGTTTATGACAGCTAAAAATTTTTAAAATTGTGACTCTTTGTGGGTGAGGTACCACAAAGTGTTCGAAGATATATATCGTCTTCACAACAGATCCTGCCTTAATAAAAATATTTGGATGTGTGAAATTTGAAGAGAGGTGAATGTTTATTTTACATTCTTTGAGCGTGTTGTTTTCCAAAATTTTGAAATTGGAATGTACACAGTCTGAATGGAATCGGATGTTAATTTCGTGTTTTATAAGCTTCATGAGTATTCAAAATTTTGACCCTTTGTGGGGGAAGTACCAGAAGAAGTGGGCCTCACACCAGACTTTGGGTTAATAAAAATATTGTGGTGTGTATAATTTGAAGAGAACCGGATGCTTATTTCGGATTTTATGATCGTGTTTGTTTTTCAAAACTTTGATCCTTTGTGGGGGAGGTACCAGAAGGAATGGTGCAATCTCTACCATAATTGTAACACATCTTGTTCCGAAGGAAAAGTTGAGATGTACCGAATCTGAATGGAATCGGATGTTAATTTCGCGTTTTATGAGCTTCATGAATATTCAAAATTTTGACCCTTTGTGTGGGAGGTACTAGAAGATGTGGGCCGATACATTCCATCTTCACACCAGACCTTGGGTTAATAAACATATTGTGATGTACTTGGACTCGTACATCGCATTTTATAAGAGTTATTATTATTCAACATGTTGACCCTTTGAGGGGGAGGCACTGGATGGAGTGGTCCGATATTGTCGATTTTCGCTCCTGACCTAGCACTGATGCAAATATTAGGATTTGCAAAGATAGAGACAAATCAGATTATACTTTCTCTTTTTGTGCAGTAAATTATTATCTTTGAAAATGTTGACATTTTGTGGTGGAGGTACAAGAAGGACGAGACCGATATTGCCCATCTTCGAACTCAACCTGCAACACCCAATCATAAACACACAAATATTACTGTCGTCCTATACGGACATAATACGCTTTAGATGTTTTAAGTATCTTCGACTAAAACTATTTTTTTTGAAGCTTGGCTATCTGAGATGGCTTCCTTAGAACAATACCATTTTAACCAGCTTAGAGCCAAATTAAAAATATTCCATATTCCATCCATCCATATTCTATCTGCTTTTTACGTTATAACTTTCTTATGTTACCTTCTCTTGTTCTCACTTTCTAGCTTGTGCCAAAATGTACGGCTATTGGATAGTTGTCAATTATCGTGAGGCATATAACATGTTTGCCTGTAATGGTATTCTCTTTAATCACGAATCACCGCGACGAGGTGAAAACTTTGTTACACGTAAAATTACCCGATCTGTGGCCAAGATCTATCTCAATCAATTGGAATATTTTGAATTGGGCAACTTAGATTCGAAACGAGATTGGGGTCATGCCATGGACTATGTGGAAGCAATGTGGATGATGCTACAACGTGATACACCCTCCGACTATGTCATCGCTACCGGCGAAACACACAGTGTGAGAGAATTTGTTGAGGCCGCATTTCGCTATATTGGACGTCAAATTGTGTGGCAGGGAGAAGGTGTAAACGAAATTGGAATTGAACAGGATAGCGGCATTGTACGGGTGCGAATCAATCCCAAATATTTCCGTCCCACCGAAGTCGATTTACTTTTGGGTGATGCTTCAAAAGCGAAACGTGAATTGAATTGGTCTCCTAGGGTAACATTTATGGATCTGGTAAATGACATGATGGCTGCCGACATTGCCTTGATGAAGAAAAATCCCATCGCCTAGTTAAACAAAATGACAGGAGTAGGCCATTAATGGTCCTGGCATTTATATACGACAAAGCTATACTCCTGATGACAGCGTATTTTTATATGGTTTATATATACATATGTACTATGTGATTTGTTATAACTCGCTCATGCCGCTTTTATCCAAAGCACAAATATATTTCTTAAATTTCATTTATTGTAATTTCCACATAGGGTACGTTTAAGTATTTTATTAAATTAACAAATCAGCATTCCTTTGTATGCATACAACTAAAACACACATTTACTTTTGCAATTTTATTTATATAATTTTAAGATAATTTGTATTTATATCATCATTGTGTATTATAATTTATAGACAAACAAAAATCAGTGTAAATTAATTGAATAGATTTTTCTTAAGGTCCTTTCAATTTAAACGACTTATTAGTCGTTGTTTTTTTTTTAATTGTAAAGTTTCAATTTATCTAAGCAACAAAAATTATGTTTTGTATTAGCAATCGAATAATAAAGTGGGCACATTATTTATTTGCTATCATATGAACTTTTAGTGTTTTATTGAAAACAAAACTAACGATTATGTCAGTATCTGGGATGTCCAGAAGACATCCATCCTGACATTTCAAGAAGTTTTAAATCAAATCTAAATCATAGTAAGAAGAAAACTTTCCAATATAAATTTTTAGTCGCTTTCCTGCAAACGCATCCTCGAACTTCCATTTTATAAAATACACAAAGTTGTAGAAAAAAGTTTTCTTTATATGATTCTAAATACAGGGTGAGATAAAAAACTGCAACAAAGTCAAACGCCATAGTTTTTACATTTTTTTTAAATTTTATAGCATGAAAGCAAAAAATGTCGGAAATAGCATCAAATTTTAGAATAACTTTCGATTTGTTCAAATTGGTCACCTTTGTCACGAATTACCGCCAATAAAACCGTCACACGCTGTCCGAATGTTGCTCTGCGGTATTTTGGCCCATTCCCGACGAAGCGCTTGCTTGAGGTGTTCGACACTTTGGTATTTATAGCGTCCACCTTGCTTTCCAAAATACTCCAGACACAACAGTCCAACGGATTGGTATCCGGAGATTTTGCTGGCCATTATGCGTTGGAAATGAAGCGAGGAACCTCATTTTGTAACCATTCTTGGATGGCGCGTGCTGAGTGCGATGGCGCTGTATCCTGTTGGAATGTCCAAGTTCTGCGGCCAAAATGCGCGCCCAAGGCTTTAATACACCCTCCAGAATATTTTCGCGATAATATTCGGCATTTATTCTGATGCCACGGCCGATTAATACGAGCGGAGAGCGACCATCGGCTGTTATGGCGACCCACACTATCACCATGGCCGGCGCTTGAGTTCTGGTGGCCAACCGAAGGTGCAATTTTCAGCTGACCTCTTTGGCAAGTAAACACGTTGCCGGACAACGAATGTTTTCTCATCGGCAGTTCACCACTTTCGGCCAAGCGAAGCAACTCGATAGCTCTTTTTGGAGTCTATTTTCTTTCTGTTGCGGTATAAGTTCTTGCTCTTTTTGGAATTTCAATGGCTTTACCCCGAGCTCATTTTTCAATATTTGACGAATGGAATATTGCGATATGTTCAGCTCACGAGACATTTTTCGGCCACTGCGACGCTGCTTTCGCTTCTTTAGTTTTCGAACCATTTCTGCTGATGTTGCTGTTTTCTTCTGTCCACTTCCTTGGCGTCGTGCTAAGTAGTACCAGTATCACGGTAAAGAGCGATGGTACGAGACACATTTACACACATTTAATTGCTGGAGTGCTCTAACAATAGCCACTTGTGGTTTTCCAGCCAAATATAAGTAAATCACACTAACACGCTTGAATTCCATCACGATTAACTTTTTTTTTAACAATATAATGAGCTGTCACTGGAATAATTTTAAAAGCTGTCGGTTGCAGTTTTTTCATCTCACCCTGTATTTCTAAACAATGCCCGCAGGATTCATTAATTCATATAATATTCTGACTACTCTTAAAACATATGTCTAAACGGGTTTTACAACACCTTTCATGAAAACCCGAGATTTAAGTAATTTAAAAAACAGATTCTTGCAGATCCCTGAACTATTTTCATGGTAAATAAACACCCAACGCGGCCGCAGAGTGCGTAGTTCCCTGATATCCTTTAAAATAAAAATCCATTTGTTTACTATTGAATATTCATTACCATAAGGCTAGGCCAACATATCTTTTCTTTATTCTTGTTTTTATTTATTCCGCAATTCCTTTGCAATAACAAGTTGTTCGATTCTTTTTTTTTTCTTGTCCAGGAACTTCTACACTCGAGATATGAGACAAAAAAAAAATCAAAATATGAGATGAACAAATTGGTGAAAGTAAAACTGGTTTTCATGAATTTCAAAATACGTTTTTTTGCACATCTATTTAAAGAATACAAACAAAAGCGAAAAAATGGAAAACAAATAACATGAAGTGCTATTTTTGGCTCCATTTGAAGATAAAGGAAGAGCATTCAAACAAAACAAAAAAGAATTGAACAACAATGGGGGCAGTATTGAAAGAAATAAATTTAATTACATTTTACATTCTTTATGTCTCCTGTTTCTTTCCAAATGGATTTATCTTTGATAACCAATTGGAAGAGCTTGAACTTGAAGAAGGTGATTCTCTGGAAAAAGAAATTACAATTTAGTTTGGTGAAGGCAGGAATATGTAAAAAACTACTTACAATTTTGTTAGTGCTTCAATATCGGCATCACTGTCTGATGAACTTTTTGCAGCCAATTTACCCGATGGTTCATCCGATTCTGTTTCGCTCTTCATATTTGCCTGTTGCAATTGTTCAATTAATTTTCTACGGAATTCAAGTTTGTGTGGAACTGGCTTGTTTTGTTCACGTATTTGAGCAGCAATTTTCTTAATTGCTTCATCATAGGTATAACCGTACCATTCAATTTCCTCGGGGGTGTACTAAGGGGGTTCAAGTTATAAAGATTTTTAGAAAAAACAATTCTAGTTGAGTTGATACACTTCACACTTACCGCTTCCAAATAACATTTGTATTCTTTGAGAACACGTTCACGTTCGCTGGGTTGCCCTGCCAAAGATGGGCAATTATTTAAAAGTTCAATAAGAATTTTCCGTTTTAGTGTAAGGGCCAATGCTGAACGCAAGTCACAGGCTGGGGTCTGAAAAAATAATGAGAATTGAAATACGTTATTAATTTTTTTTTTTGCTTTTGCCACTTTAGCGTAATATACTGTTATCAATTCCACTTCTTAGTAAACTAATATAACAGAGAACTACAGAAATGCAGCCCTGAGGCTATGAACGCTTCCTGTCAGAATTATTCAAAATTATAGGCAACAAGTTGTTTACATTCATTTGATATTTTTTGGCAACATTTGCAATATTCAAATACGAAAATTGAAAAAAAAAAATCCGGTGAATAATGTAGCTAAAATCATTAAAATACCGAAAATAGGGAGGTACTGATATATGGAGACTATACGAAGGCCTGAACCTGCATAAACAAATTTTTGTCATAGACTGTGGTTCCTATTACGAACTCCAAATATGAACTTTTAAACAACTCCGGTGAATAATGTCGCTAAAATCATCAAAATACCGAATATTGGGATGTACCGAATATTGGGCTATACGAAGTCGTGGACCTATATAGACAATACTCTTCCAGGGGGTAATGTGCTTAAAAGAAACTTCTAGTATGGATTTTCAGACAATTTAATTGAAAAATTTGGCTGCAATCATCAAAATACCGAATATCGTGGGGTACCGTTGTAAGGGGGCTATACGATATCGTGGACCCATATAAACAATTCTCTTCCACAGGGTTAAGTACTCAGAAGGAATTCCTTGTGTGGATTTTCAGACAATTCCATTGGGGAATGTGGCTATAATCATCAAAATACCGAATATCAAGGGTCCATCTTCGAACTTGACCTGCCTGCAGACAGAAGACTGATCTGTTCAAAATTTTAGTTTCCTATCTTTATTCGTTTTGACTCTAGCGTGATTACAACCGACGAACAGGCGGACAGGGCTAAATCGTTTTAGCCGCTGTACGCTGATCAAGAATATATATACTTTGTTATGCCTAAAATGATTATTTCGAAGAGTTACAAACGGAGTGACGCACTTAATATACCATCCATACTATGTACGGAAAAGGGTATAGAAAACTATTAAGACATCTTTAAAATACGTCAGGATTGCAACAGGACTCTCTGGATTTCAATACAAATTTTGAAAACTCTACAAATATACCCTATTTAACCAATTAATCTCCAAGAGGAGATTTGTTGTTGTCTTATATGACGGTCATTGATCGTGGCCTCAGCCTCAATAAAGACACCATTGTCTTGCTATCAATGTGATTTTGAGAAAAGTTCAGTGCAAGCAAAGACATTTAAATATTTACAAATCTATAGATTATCAATATTGACATGGTGACACTGTGTGTGTTTTCTTATAAATCAGAGAAATATGTAATCGGAAAACATTTTGAGGCAAAAAAAGTGATGCAAAATTTGAAAACTTTTGTTGCAATTGTTGTTAAGCAATCAGTCTGCAATAATTCGATGGATCTCTACCTACTTAGATAAATATCTTTTAAAAAATAACGCATCTTGAAACACGCCTAACTTGTGAAATAAAAATATTACAAGCAGCTACTATTTTTTCTTTGGATAGGTACCTACCTTCAACAAGTAATGATCAAACCCATGACATTCATGAATTTTTTCTATAGTCCTATCGGTCACCACCACCGACATGTATTCATTCAACACCTGACTGTGCACAACGGAACGCTTCAACACCGGCACCCAAAAGTGTGGAACACGACGTGACAGGCGCTGACGCTTTTGAAAACCTTTTATGACAGCTTCACCACCCCATATACCTTGGTGACTTTCGGGTGGATCGATCAGCGGTATGGGTACATTTTGCACCGGCTTAATTTCACCCGTAACTTCATCACGTTCCCAAACGCCATCCTTGGGAATATAGTGCACGGCCGCTGGTTGGGTCATTTTCCATTCGCGCCAGAATTTCTTATAGGCTTCAGGCAATTGGGCACCCAAGCCTTTGTCGAAACGGGTTAAACGTTTGAAGCCATTTAACAGTTGGGGTCCCTAAAATCAATAATATAACATTACCAAGATGAAACACGTTCCAAGTAATTGGTTAAGCAACAAAGCCACAACAGTGAAAAACAATTTCCACGGCGGTTCATTTATTGCGTCACAAAGCACGGCGGCAGACTCACTTGTTTGGTGGCATGTGCCATAATTAGATTAGTATTTTTTCTTCTTTTTGATTAAATTTCTCTACTGGGATGTCTTCGAATTTTCCAATTTTACCACCAATAAGTTTTAAAACAAATAAGTGCTTTGGAATTTACGAAAAAACTTTTGAAAACAACTTGGATGCCCTTTGTCGGTGTGCGACTGCCGAAAATGTCGGATCGGAAAATAATATAAAAGAGAATGTGGAATTTTTACGAATGAGGAGATGAAGAATGGTCAAAATTCTGACAGTTTGCACAATAACAGATGTTTTATTGTTTTGTTGCGCTCTTCTTCTTTTGTAAATGGTAACACAATCATGTGGAGTATTGCCATATTCAAAAAACCCATGGTATTACCTTACATGGCATTAAATTTATCAGAAATGGCAGAATAAAAGAGGTAACCTAATTTGTCAAATCGGTAATTGCAAATCTTTTTCTAAACTCTTTTTTAAAACTCATCATTGAAAATTTAAATTGCCGAAAACATATATTTAGATATTGATCGAAAGAAGTACAAACCATGATACAATAATTAAAAGGTGAAGCAGAATGATAAAATTTGAAAAACACAACCCTGAAGCTATAATCCTGTAACGTCAAATTTACCAATAAGAAATTTAAGCAAAAATGGTAAAAAATGAATAAAATTCCGAGTATTTTTCACAATATCGAGTTCCTAATACGATTACTATTTTTTCTTCCCAAAACGCAAGCATTTATTCTCTCCAAAGCTGTAATATGAAAATAAATTTCAACAGAATTTACAAATTTTCAAATTTATTTTGTTGATTATCCAAAGCACTACATACACATACAAAAATTGTATACACCTTTCGACATTACAAGAGTACCAAAAGAAAAAAATTGGAATTCAGGTGATTGCTATGCCTTGTCTTCATTCATGACACAAAGAGGAAATTATAAGCCAGATTCATGGTAGAAGAATTCAGGTTGTCGCATCGACACAGCTGCTGGGACAATGAACTGTCAAACCGATTTTAAAATTAATAAATTTGAATAAAAATATTATTCAAAATCGTTAAAACTATTGAAAAATGCGTGTCATAGCAACCTCCGATTGGTGTCGCATAGGAAAAATTTAAAAAATCGAATTAATTTTGGAAAAACATTTTAAAATTTTTGACATATCAATGCTCCTAAGCGTTGATGCATCAACCTGTTTTCTTCTACCATGGTCAAATTGAAAAAAAATCTAGACAAATTGTTTTGAATCAGTGTTGTATTTTTCCACCACAAATATGTACCGCAGAACTAATGCTGTACACAGTGATGTTTTACATCAGTACGTAGATTTCGCACCGGATTTGATTTAAATCCGTTCGAGAGAAGATCCATTTTTGTATGGCAGATTTTGTTGAATAAATGATGTTGGTTAATCCGGGTTAAATGTTTAATCTAAACGCGTCATTAGTTTTACCAATTTACAATTTTGCGGAAACTTTTGCGATTTTGGAGTGTGCTGTAGTATTAATGTAAAAATCCAGTGCTGTTTTCGTTAGTATGTAGTTCCACACGCATTTCGAATAAAGCCCGACGTGAGATTTTATGGTAAATGTGGTTGAATAAATATGGATTAAGTAATAAATCCTGATAATGTCGAGTTCGTTGGAAAATCGTTGCTATATTCGGTTTAGCAATTCAGACTACTTCAAATTCAGCGTATGTAACCTGAATTCCCATGTAAACCATCCGATGATTTATGGCAGGAAAACAGTTATCTTAGAAGTTTAGCTCTTTAAAGTCACCCTTCTAGGAATTGCTATATGCTGTCTTAATTTTTGTATACTTGCCACCATGTTGTGTAAGCTTTAATAGGTTCGTCATGCGGTAAACATATATATCCCATATTATGCCATGTTTACGTTAGAACTTTTTGTAGGGTTAACCTACTTTGAGAGGATTTATTTGAAGTAAAAGTAATGGATATGACAATTTAAATCCAAATCCAGTGGGTTAACCCTCATATATATAAACGTACTATTACTCTCCCGCGCTATTATAGGTATTTTGAAGGCATTCGCTTCATTTTTAACCACCTTCAACCTCGTAGCATAAAGTGTTTGGCGCATTTACGTTGCATATTTTAGAGTTATCGGTATTTTCGGTTGTAAAAATTAAAAGATGTCTGCTAATATACGAAAAGGGTCAACAAATGATATAGATCATTGTTCGAATGCAAAATATAAACAACCCCGTTGCGGAAACATTTGCGACTTTGGAGAGTATGGCTGTAAAACCCCAGAGATACTTTCCGTTAGTACCATTGTAGAAGAATTTTAAAAATTTAAAACTTTTTACTACGATCACAGATTTTCACTTTATGATATCGAAAAAAAAATTGAAAAACTAGTATATTCTTGCAGATTCTGGAACAGAGCTAAATCACCTTGATATGACGTTTGGCGAAGTGGCTCGGGTATGTAATAAAACAGTTTTAATGTATATTAATTGATTTTTTGTTTTATTGTACAATTTAGAATATGGTGTTTTTTTTTTAGAAAAATATATATATTTTAAAATTTGTTGTTGTTCTTGTTATTGATCAATCGAATACGATGACTGTTTTGCGATAATATTTTATTTTTATTAAAACATTCATTTAAAATATATTTATATTATATATTAGAGTTTACATTATATAAAATAATAATATTTTTCTTATTTCATTCTTTTTTTTAATAAAAATACTTAACGGTAAAATAAAGTTATATTACATAAACAAATATTTAAAGCTAAAATGATATCCTAGGTTTACAGTAGTATAACACATAATACAGCTATATTAAAAATATATAATGATTTGTTTTTGTTTTTCGATTTAATTGATTTGTTTTAATAATTAGGCGTTAATGGTGATCTTTTTTTTATGGGCGATAACAATTTCTGATTTTATCGGCAAAATTCAGTTAAAACTTTTAGTTTGAACTTTATTTTCTTTTTACAGTATACATGTGCGGTGAGTAAACCTCTGATTTTGTAAAAAAAATCTAATTTACTTCCAATGAATTTGGGAAAAGTGTTAAACTGATGTTTTGGAAAATCGATTCTCAAAATATCGACCGAATAGCAATTTTAAGGTGATAATGCATATCACACTTTTTTGACTGGCTTAAGTCATAGACTTGCTTCTTCGGAAGCCAACAAAGAAGCGTAGGGCTAAAATCGAACTAAGTTAACCTAAATCTCCTTTGTTCCTCTACGAAGAAGCCAGCCGATGACTTAAGCCAATGAAAAAAGCGTTTATATGTATTGTCACCTTTACAAATGCAGAGGTTTTCTTCATATAATAGTAGCAAAAATAATTTATAAAAAACAATTCTAATAAATAACAATGTTTTGTTAAGTTTAAATGCAGAAGTCAAGCTTTAGAGAATGTTAGCAAAACTTATATCAGATTGAAAAAAACTAAAGATGAAGTTGCATTTATGCGTATTTCGGTCTCACAGTGTGTGTGAGAGAGAGTTCCAAGTAACTCTCCTCGTAACCTTGGAGGAATAAAATAACTTTTTTTTGAACTCTACTTAACCTTTACGTCACAGAGTTGCAGACAGGCGAGACAAAGCGTTTGAGTAAATTGACAATAGAAAAGACAGCAAGTAGTTCTAAAATATATTACGATTATTTAATCTAGGGACTTGATAGCGCAAAGACGTTTGGAGGACATATAAGAAAATAAATAACATGATACCTAATGAGGCAAAGGCGCGGACGTATCTCTCTTACGCTCTTCTCTCCAGCAATTTGTTTGACAAATCACAATATCATCCTTTATTTGACATCTATGTTATCGGTGCCCGGCTTGAGTATCTGATAGCTGGGATTTGAAAACGCCTCAGGATGCTTGGCGCCGTTATTGTTAATGGTTTTCTTGGGCGATTTAAGATTTATGTAATTCTCTGCATCCTCACCTCCGCCGCCACCATTCAATTTCGTCTCCTTTATGTGATGGCGGGGTGATGGTGTGGGCATATTTTTCGTTTGTTGCTGCAACATTTGAGCATATTTACGCGGTTGATCCGGACTATCTTCGTGATGATTGACTGCGTCCAGCATGGGTATTTCTTCGGGCAGGGGATCAATGCCATCCTTCTTAACACGCGGTGGCTTGCTATTATTCGGACTATCCAAATTGTTGGCTAATGTGGGGGAATGTTGTTCGGCTGCATTATCTGGGAAGTTAAAGGAAGTAGTTGAGATTGTGGGTGGATGATCGGCATTATCTTCGGTACATATTGGGGGTGAGTCTTTGGGACGAGTTGGTGAGAAAATTACTGAGCCACCATTGGGGCTCATTTGTAAGTAATCGTCAGAGGACAAATCAATGCCTGTGTTGGTGTAAATGTAAATGTGTGCAAATAATATTGATGTAGTGCATGTTGTTGGGCAGATAGTGTTGCAGAATATAGGGTAGAAGCGGATGTTTTAGTTGTTGTTTTAAGGTTTTGTGATGATTATATGGCAGTATACAATGTTCCAAAGAGAACCAGAGAGAGATACAGAAATAGTACAAGAAAAAGACAAGACAATAGAATCCATTATTAAAACAATTATGTATAACTATTTTTTAACAGACTTTTGGAATATGATGATATTTTAATTTATCGAAATCGTGTGAACTATAGAAAACGTACGTTTTTCTAGAAAATGTTATTTTCTGTTGAAAAAGTTGTTATTGAACAACTTTTCTATAGGAAACGTTGTTATTGAACAACTTTTCTATAGGAAACGTTGTTATCGAACAAATTTTCTATAGAAAAGTTTGTTATCGAACAAATTTTCTATAGAAAAGTTTGTTATCGAACAAATTTTCTATAGAAAAGTTTGTTATCGATCCACTTTTCTACTGAAAAGGTTGTTATCGATCCATTTTTCTATCGAAAATGTTGTTATCGATGCACTTTTCTATCGAAAATGGTGTTATCGAACAACTTTCTTGTAGAAAAGGTTGTTATCGAAAAACTTTTCGATAGGAAAAGTTGCTATCGAAAAAGTTTTCTATAGGAAAAGTTGTTATCGAAAAACTTTTCTACAGGAAAAGTTGTTATCGAACAACTTTTTTATAGAAAAAGTTGTTATCGAAAAACTTTTCTATATAAAAGGTTGTTATCGAACTATTGCTTTACAGAAATGTTGTTATCAAACCACTTTTCTATAGAAAAAGTTCTTATCGAACCACTTTTCTATAGAAAAGGTTGTTATCGAATCACTTTTCCACAGAAAATTTTGTTATCGAACCACTTTTCTATAGAAACAATTGTTATCGAACAACTTTTCTATAGAAAAGCTTATTATCGAATAACATTTCTATAGAAGAAATTGAAAATTTTGTTATCGAACCACTTTTCTATAGAAACGATTGTTATCCAACAACTTTTCTATAGAAACGCTTGTTATCGAATAACATTTCTATAGACGAAATTGTCACCGAACAATGTAGAAAATGTTGTTATCGAACCACTTTTTTATAGGAAAAGTTGTTGTCACTTTTCTATGGAAAAAGTTGTTATCAAACCACTTCTCTATAGAAAAGTTTGTTATCGAATCACTTTTCCACAGAAAATTTTGTTATCGAACCACTTTTCTATAGAAACGATTGTTATCGAACAACTTTTCTTTAGAAACGCTTGTTACCGAATAACATTTCTTTAGACGAAATTGTCATCGAACAACTTTTCTAAAAAAAGGTTGATATCGAACAACTTTTCTATAAAAAAGCTTGTGATCGAATAACTTTTCTGTAGAAAAAGTTGTTATCGAACCACTTTTCTATAAAAAAGGTTGTTATCGAACCACTTTTCTATAAAAAAGGTTGTTATCGAATCACTTTCCCATAGAAAATTTTGTTATCGAACAACTTTTCCATAGAAAATGTTGTTATCAAAAAACTTTTCCATAGAAAATGTTATTATCTAACAACTTTTCTATAGAAAAGGTTGTTATCGAACAACTTTTCTATAGAAAAGGTTGCAATTGAACAACTTTTCTATAGAAAAGATTGCTATTGAACAACTTTTCTATAGAAAAGGTTGCTATTGAACAACTTTTCTATAGAAAGGGTTGTTATCGAACAACTTTTCTATAGAAAAGGTTGTTATCGAACCACTTTTCTATAGAAAAGGTTGTTATCGGACAACTTTTTTATAGAAAGAGTTGTTATCGAACCACTTTTCTATAGAAAAGGTTGTTATCGAACAACTTTTCTATAGAAAAAGTTGTTATCGAACCACTTTTCTATAGAAAAAGTTGTTATCGAACAACTTTTCTATAGAAAAAGTTGTTATCGAACAACTTTTCTATAGAAAAAGTTGTTATGTGGAAAAAATTGTTATCGAACAAATTTTCTATATAAAAAGTTGTTATCGAACAAATTTTCTATATAAAAAGTTTTTATCGAACAACTGTTCTATAGAAAAAGTGGTTATCGAAGAGATTTTCCATAGAAAAGTTGTTATCGAATAACTTTCCTATAGAAAAGGTTGTTATCGAACAAATTTGTTATCGAACAACTTTTCTATGGAAAAAGTTGTTATCGAACAACTTTTCTATAGAAAAAGTGGTTATCGAACAACTTTTCTACGGAAAAAGTTGTTATCGAACAACTTTTCGATAGAAAAGGTTGTTATTGAATAACTTTTCTATAGAAAAGGTTGTTATCGAACAACTTTTCTTGTTATCAAACAACTTTTAAGTAGAAAAGGTTGTTATCGAACAACTTTTCCGTAGAAAAGATTGTTATCGGACTACTTTCCTTTAGCAAAGGTTTTTTCGAACAACTTTTTTTAAAGAAATATTGTTATCGAACAAAAATAGTTTGTTATCGATGAACTTATTGAACTTATTTAGAATATGCCATCATTACTCCAAAGTCTGTTCTAAAAATAGTGTGGGGTGTGTGTTTGTGTATTCGGTTTAGGTTGGGTTTGGATAAATAGTTTTAGAGAAAAACTTACGAATTTCCGGTAGTATATGACCATTGACATATCTTGGCGGAGGCGGCGCCATTTCGTCCGGTGAACCCATTAAAGCCAAATAATCCGTTTGATTTCTCTTCATATATTCTGTATTTACTCTTAAGTAGGGTTCATTCAAGTCCATGTAATGCTGCAAAGGACACAAACAAAATTATATTTGCATTTGATATCAACACCAATCTCAATACTTACACTTGCAACCTCTTCGCCCAGCATCTGACCAAATCTCTCTTTCAGCACATTAAACAATGGTCTTGATTCGGGATTTGTACGCCAACACTCCAACATAATCTCATACAAGTCATCATTGGCATAGGGTGGCTTGTCCATGCGATAGCCATCTTTGAGTTTCAAATATAAACTTTGATTGGCATCGATTTCTGGATATGGCACCTTAGCCAATGAAAACAATTCCCACAAAACAATGCCGAATGACCAGACATCAGTGTAGGTGCTAAATATGTGATCACTCAGAGACTCCAGCGCCAACCATTTGATGGGCAATGGAGCATCACCCTGTTTCTTGTAGTTGTCACTCTTGTACATCGAACGGGCCAAACCGAAATCACAAATCTTGATAATGTTATCTTCGCACAGTAAAATATTACGTGCTGCCAAGTCACCGTGCAACACCTTCTTCGATGAAAGATATTCCATGCCACAGGCAACCTGATAGGACCAGCTTATAAGATCCATGGTGGTAATTGACATGGCCTCCGTTGAATCGGATTTGTAATTGGAACGCCATGCGGGTTGTACGGAATTGTTGGACATAATATTATCTTCATCTGTGCGAGGGAGGAGAAGAGGAAAGTTTTGAGTTATGAGCAAGGTAAATAAGGAAAATCGGAAATTTGTAAATATGTTTGGATATTAAGGAAATCATTACCTTCTTCTTCCTTTACAACAACAACTCCTTGTGAAGGCAAGATAATTGATAATTTTAATAAAATTTAAATTATTTTTGAAACTTTTAAGTTTAAAACAAGTTAAGGCGACCATGTGCTGCCACACTGCGTCCTTCAGGAATTTTCTCTTTCGATAAACCTACAATTTGTTTTTCGAATTATTCCCTCACATATTTTTTGGTTAATATCGAAGCCTAGAATATTCATATGTAGATTTTAAAGGCGTTTGTCAAACCAACTAAAACAAAACCACTTCCTAGTCTCCCTAACGTTAACCACAACTTCAATTTTAAGAGAAAGAATGGAACGCTTTTTTGACTGGCTTAAGTAATTGGCTGGCTTCTTCGGAAAATAACAATGAAGCCAACATCGAACTAAGAAGCCAGCCAACGACTTAAACCAGTCAAAAAAGCATTTTAGGTACTCTCACCTTTACATTTTAGTGTTTTGTGATTTGATTCGTGGATATGAAGTCGAACACCAAAGTCGAGTTTTCGATCTCTCGCTTTGGCCCAGACTGTTAAAGGTGAGAATACATAAAACGCTAATTTGACTGGCTTAAGTCATCGACTGGATTCTTCGGAAAATAATAAAGGAGTGAAGGGCCAAAATCGAACAAAGTCAACCTAAAACTCCTTTGTTCCTCTACGAAGAAGCCAGCCGATGACTTAAGCCAATCAAAAAAGGGTTTTATGTCTTCTCACCTTAAGCCTTTTTTTCTACTTTGACTTCTCAAATTAAAGTACTTCCTATTTTTTTTTGGCGCGGAGCTTTGGTAAGAACATAGGATATATTTTTTACTTTTCTGTTAGACCATAAAAATATAATATTTGTTTGTTCGTACCAAAGTAAAAATTGTACCAAAAATCTACGGTCTAAAGGTGGAGATATATAAAGCGCTTATTTGGCTGGCTCAAGTCATCGGCTGGCTTCTTCGCAGAGGAACAAAGGAGTTTTAGGTTGACTTAGTTCGATTTTGGCCCTAGCTCCTTTGTTCATTTCCGAAGAAGCCAGCCGATGACTTAAGCCAGCCAAATAAGCGCTTTATGTATTCCCACCTTTAAAATCGACTACGAAAAGACGACTTTGGCTTTTAGACTTTAAACTAATTTCACATGATACGTGATTAACCCGCTAGTCTTTGTTCTAATATAAGGAGCAAAGTTCGGCCGGGCTGAACTTTTAATACCCCCCACTTTGGAAGGAACTTGGGAGGTATGGGCAATTTTCTGTCTAAAGATCCATTGCCCACTGCGGACTCCAAATTTCGTAGTGGAACAAGGGATTTTTAGGTTGACATAGTTCGATTTTGGCCCTACGCTCCTTTGTTCTTTTCCGAAGAAGCCATCCGATGACTTAAGTCAGTCAAAAAAGCCTTTTATGTATTCTCACCTTAACTACCGAATACAGGGAGGTACAGTTATATATGAGAAATACGAAAATGTGGACCTGTATAGGCATTTTTCTATCATAAGATATAGTATCCCTTACAAACTCCAAATACCAAAATTTGAAACAATTACGGTGAATAATGTCGCTAACATCATCAAAATACCGAATATCGGGAGTTACCATTATATGGGGGCTATACCAAAACGTGGACCGACATGGACCATTTTCAATACCAAAAGTCCTGCAGACATAATATACATTTGGGTAAAATTTTATTAACCTACGTCCACAGACGGACAGACGTACGGACATCGCTAAATCGACATGGAATTTTATGCTGATCAAGAAATATGTAACTTTGTGGAATGATAAACTTAATATACCCTCCATACTATGGCGGAGTGTATAAAAATAAAACAATAATATTAGAATGAATTACGAGTAGTGCCGTAAGAACTCGTTAATTCATGCACGAATTTTTGAGAGCGAATAACATGAATCAAATAACAATCAGAACATGGTATAAATAGTATTAATAAGAAAATCGATTTACATGTCTCTACTTTTATTTTACCATTTTCTTAAGCTTCTATCAGGCGGAATGTTTTTTTTTATGAAATAGCACGTATATATCACACGATATGTGTAAAAACAAACTAAATTGGCTAAGACTACAAAGTCGTACCGGCGGAGATGCATTCCTGGTTTGTGAACAAACCTGGATTAAGTTAGTTCCAAGTTCCGCTAAGTGAAATAGCTAGTTCCCTTAAGGCAGATTGATATCTCCGACAAAATACTTTCAGGATTCGTCATTACAATTTAAATAAGGCGCTAATTGATGGAAAAAAGAATATTATTTTGGAAGATGCTGGTGTTTTTCAGTGTGGCTTATTATTATTTTTTGGAGCGGCAATAGTTAAAATACATCTATAAAATATGCCAGTAACACAAATTCGCTTGCTTGATAGTACAGCCAGGTATCACATGGTCGGGCGAATAAATAAATTTTCAAATTAAAAATAAATAATTTTGTTAAACACCCATGGTAGAACGAAGAAGGTAAAGTCATGCAATCATATGTTTACAATTTTTTTTTCAAAATTATTCATTTGACAACGTCTCATTGTCAAAATTTATATTTATAAAACCATTGCATACACAGAAATCAGAGATGGGAACCTGTTTTTTATTCAGTGAAATATGACAAGCTAAATTACAGAAAATGCAGAGATGGATAGTCTTATTTGAAATGACATTACCTCCTTAATTTTACCATGTAAATACCATAGAAATATATTCTTGTTTTCTTTGACTTACCTTCTGGCACCGTGGTCATAACTGTATTCTCAGTACCGCATGTGTTGATTTGACCCTCGTACAATTCCGATTTGGATATATAACCTGTGGAACCAGGACGACCAGCTCGTGTACCCGAACGAGGATCATTATCCGTTTCTCTGCGATTATTTGAGGAATAATAGTTGTTCATATTGTTCATATTATTGACGTGATTGATATATTGATGATTTGAGAAGGATAAATTAACATATTTGAGGCCAGAACTGCATTTTTAACAAACACGTTCGAGATGGGTGGGGTTTCGATATTATTATGATGGGGGGAGAGTTTACAAAATATGGGGAGGTTGTTTGACACAAAGGTTGTTAGGTTGGATTATATTCCCATACACCACACATAATGATTAAGGTTTGTTTGTTTTTGTTTTTTTATTGGTAGAGGTTTATAGGTTAGGTTATGTCACATTTACATCCATCCAATACAATAGCCATCATCATCATCATCAGCAATATCACCGACACCAGTAAGTTAATTTCATTCATATTTTTTTTTATTTATGGTTAATTTGTGTAATTATTAAACATAAAATAGTTGGATATTTCGTGAGGGGGAGGGAGGGAGTATACCAAATAAAAACGAAAAAAGAAAAAAAAAACACATAGTTTTTATAGGTTAGAATTTCATATCCATCACCAATTAGATTTGTGTATGTGTTAGTGTATTGGAATATGTGCGGTTTTTTGGGTGCAAGAAGAAAGTGTTTTAGTAAGGTTTAGAAATTTACATGAATTTGTAACGTGTGTTAGGGTAAAAAGAAATAAAAAGAAAAAACAATTTTATTAAAAACAAAATATTTAATTAGAGTCTATAACAAAACAAGAACAAGAAGTAGAAGGTGCGACAAAGGAAAGGTTAGTATTAAGCATAAAAGTCAAACGAAATGATTAAATCCCAAGTATATTGTTCTGGAACTACTACGACATGAGTATTCGAACTATTTCATTTTCAGATGGATGGAATTGATTTGTCAAGGGACTCAATTTCTGTAACGTTTAATATTTGTAAAGTACAAGAATTTTAACGTTGCCCAAATGCCGGCAGAAAGAATAAAAGGAATTGAGCTCTTCTTCTAATCACACCATTCACTGTGAATGGTATGATCTCATAAACAAATTACCATAAAATAGAAGTTCGATTGCTATTGGCTGTTTCTGGCGCTCTATCTCTCTCTCTCTCTCTCTCATTGGGTTTCTTTGTTTTTCTTTGATGCTTACTCATTTTAATACACACCCGCAACTAGGCAGCACTATTCATATTTCTGAAGGCATCAGGCCACCACTTAACAAAAATGATTGTGTTAATTATATGTTCGTGGAGTCCACTTTTTAATGCATAGTAATATATAATAATGACAAATAATTAAAAATTTCAAATAAATAAGCTCTTGATAATTTTGGAAATGTATACCCTCAGCCAATGTTCGATTTTTTAAATATATTTTGACTTCTCTTACGATTATTCAAATTGTTGACCCTCTATGGAGTAGATTCCGAAGGAATGGGTTAATATTGCCCATTTTGTATCGGACCTAAATAAATATGACTGGTTTGGAATATATTGGTTACTTCCTTCACTTTATATAAGATATATATGGTAATTTTTAGGAAATGTTAAAATGTGCCTGAGGTAGAAGATATAGTCGATCGAAGTATTCCATTTTCATGCTTCATCTAATCCATATAAAAATATTGATATGGGCAAAATTGCAAGAAAATCGAAAATTTATATTCAATTTTATGCGAAATCATAAATTCCATATTCATTTCAGGTTTCTGGCTGAGAGAAATATTTAAGTAGTTTAAGTGCAAGTTGTAAACAATCGCTGACTTGTTTCGCAAGTTATGACAGATAAAAGTATAGAAAATTGTGACCCTTTGTGGGTGGGTTCGCAGATATATATAGGCGGAGATAAAAAAAACTGCAACCAACTTCAGACAGCTGTCATTTCAAAGCCACTCGTCCGGCACCTGTTAAAATTATTCCAGTGACAGCTCATTATATTGTTTACAAGCGTACAAAAGTATTTTGGTGCGAATTTTTTTTGATGGAATTCAAGCGTGTTCGTGATGGAATTCAAGCGTGTTTCTCGCTTCACTTCCATCGCACAATGGCCACCAAGATCTCCGGATACCAATCCGTTGGACTCTTGTGGCTGTAGTATTTTGGAAAGCAAGGTTGGCACTAAAAAATACCCAAGTGTCGATCACCTCAAGCAAGCGCTTCGCCGGGAATGGGCCAAAATACGGCAGAGCAATATTCGGACAGCGTGTGGCCGTTTGAAGGCCATAATTTGCGCCAAAGATGACCAATTCGAACAAATTTAAACTTATTTTAAAATTTGATGCTATTTCCGACATTTTTTGCTTTCATTCAATAAAATTAAAAAAATGTAAAAATTATGGCGTTTGACTTTATGGCAGTTTAATTTGTGTTTTTAAACAGTTTCCAGAAAATGATTTTAGAACCTAATAAAAATTTTGGATAGAAGGGAAAACTTAGTCTGTTCCAGATCTGCAAGAATATAAAAGTCTTTGCAACCGATTCTGGAACAGAGCAATAATTATTTTATCAAGGGCCTTAAGCCAAAAAACAAAAAGAAATTTCTCTACTAATTTTGTACCGCAATTCTGTCCTTTGAACAATTCTTCCTTTTATCTGGCTCCACTGTAGGCCCCCCATAATTTAATATTAGGCATAATATTAAAAAAGCTACTGCATCAGGGATTTAATCATTTTGAGGACTGTTTGGGTTAAAATATATTTTGGAAAACAAACAAAATTTTTGGAGTGCTATTAGTACCAATGTAACATGTGAATACAACCAATAGATTAAATAAGTTAAGAAAACACAATCAAAACTTTATCTTACCGATCCAATTCGAAATTATCGGAAAATCGTTGTGTGGTGATGTTGGCATCGATTTTGCCCGTGTGTGGATTAATTTGATTGATAAAACGTTTGCGGTTACGCATCAAGAAATTCTGGACATTACCGTAGCGACAAAATTCCACAATGACCATAAGTTCACCTGGCAATATAACAACAACAATCATTATTTTTAGCTGTTCCCGAAAATATCCATCCTCACTTACGTTTGGCAATGTTTTTGGTGACGGCGCCCAATAGATTGACGACATTTAAATGTTGACCCAAATGCACCATTATTTTCAATTCTGAGACCAGGGCACGCATTACCTCATTGTTGGCATTACGTTTAACCATTTTCACAGCCACCACAGTTTCTTTCTCCTCAGGGCGTATGCCCTCTGCATGGGCTTTGAGAACAACGCCAAAGGCTCCGGCACCCAATTGTTTGCCCAATTTCAATTTATCCCGGGGAAATTCAAAGCAACGATCGTAAGGCAACAAATCGGCTTGTTCGTCCAGTGTAAGAGCCGGATTAATATGTTCCAGGGCACCTTCCTCGAAATTGGCCAAACCAGCAGCTTTGAGTTCACGCAAAAGTTTGCGTTCCCTCTTGACGCGTATATACAGATAGATTACCAAGCCAATAAGAATTAGAAGCAGCAGAACAATGCCGCAGATCCAACCCAATGTAAGGCCCGGAATATCTATGAAAAAATGTTGTTCAAAATCAAGAATTGAAAATCTGAAAATTTTGCCACTTACTGGTAATTTTAACATTGACCGTCTGTTCAACGACACCCAAACGATTTGCCACCACGCATTTATATTGACCCTGATCATCGGGCTTCAAGTAGGGTATAACCATGTGACCCACATATTCACTGGAAATATTTACTAGTTCCACATCATCCTTATACCATGTTACAGTGGCCTTGGGTATGGCATGCGATTCACATCTCAGCTCAAGCGATTCACCCAATTTGCGTTCCAATTTGATGTTGTTACCCAAATTGGTATAGGTCATTTGTGGCGAAGAGGGTTCTGTAAAATAATTATTATTTCAACGCACTTCAATCGAAATCGTTTTCCACTCACCATGAGCTATGAGATTTATTATCCTATACTCTATCTTGCTATCATTTATGTGGGCGGCTCCGCACTCATAGATACCCTGATCTTCGTCTTTGATCTTTTTGAATGTCAGTGATGATTTGTAGGAGTAGTTACTCTTTGATCGGTTTATTTTTATGTCTGAAATTAGGGAATTGTAAAATTTGCAAGGCAAATTTGACGCCATTAACTTACCATTAGATTCCTTGATTGGTTCCCTTTTGCTATCGAACCACTGGATATTATCGCTAAAGTAATAGGCCACCGCAGCACAGGTGATGGTCACCTCATCACCCCGGGCAATAATATCGGTATCATTAATACCATAAATTGTCATATTTTCCTCTATATCACGCACAAGAACATGGGCTTTGGCATTGCCGCGATGTACCACTTTATCGATAGCATTGGCAGCTGTACAGTAAACGATTCCGGGTGAAGGGGGCACAAAATACATGTTGTAAACAAAATCGATAAAGGTATCACCATTGCGAGAGCTAGTTTCCTGTGAACGGGATGCAGGGGGTATTATTAGTAATTTGGAAGTAGAAATGGCGAAATATCAAAATAATTTCCCATAGAAAGGGTTGTTATCGGAAAACTCTAGTAGCAATCGAACAACGTTTTCATAGAAAAAATAGGCATCGAACATCTTTTCCATGTCGAACAACTTTTATCTACTCTACTACTTTTATCGAACTGCTCTACTACTTTTATCGAACTGCTCTACTACTTTTATCGAACTACTCTACTACTTTTATCGAACTACCTCTTTAATCGAACTACCTTCCATAGAAAGGCTTGTTATCGGAAAACTCTAGTAGTAATCGAACAACCTTTCCATAGATAATATTGACAGCGAACATCTTTTCCATAGAAAGGGTTGTTATCAAAAATTATCGGTTTTATGAAAAATGGTTCCAGAACTGCAAAAATTTAAAAATTTTTACTATGATAACTGATTTTCCCTTAATGATATCGACAAAAAGTTGCTAAACTAGCCGATTCTAGCAGGTTCTGGAACAGAGCAAAAGTTAATTACGGAATTACTTTTTTATGGAAAATTTGTTATCGAACTACTTTTCCATAGAATGGTTTGTTATAGAGCAACTTTTCCATAAAAATTGTAGTTATCGAAGAACTTTATAGAACAGATTATTATTGTTCAATTTTCTATGGAAAAGGTGTTAACGAAGAACTTTTTTATTGTTATCGAATCGAATGTTGTTATCGAATTAATTTGCCTTGATTTCAGAAAATATTGCTATCGAATATCCTTCATATTTTATAGATTATTGTCAAACGACAATTTTTTTATTAAAACAAGTAAAAAATCAATAAGTTCGGCCGGGTCGAACTTTGAATACCCTCCACCATTTGGAACAAATTAGGAAATTAAAAGAATAAAATAAAATCCATTAAAAATTCTAGTAATATTTTAAAAATACCGAATATCGGAAGGTCCCGATATATGGGGAATATACGATATTGTGGACCTATATAGACAAATCTATTTCTGGGGGTAAAGTACTTACAAAGAAATCTTTGTGCAGAATTTCAGACAATTCCGTTAGAAAATGTGGTTAAAATCATCAAAATGTCGAATATCGGAAGGTACCGTTATATGGAGGCTATACGAAAATGTAGACCTATATAGACCATTGTCTTTTAGGGGATAAAGTACTCACAAGGAACTCCTTCTGTAGAATTTTAGACAATTCCGTTAAAAAATATGGCTAAAATCATCAAAATACCGCATATCGGGGGGTACCTTTATATGGGGGCTATACGATATTGTCGACCTATATAGATAATTCTCTTCAAAGGGATAAAGTACTCACAAAGAACTCCTTGTGTGGAATTTCAGATCATTCCATTGAAAAATGTGGCTAAAATCATCAAAATACCGAATATCGGGAGGTACCGTTATATGGAGGCTATACTATATCACGGACCTATATAGACAATTCTCTTTTAGGGGATAAAGTACTCACAAGGAACTCCATATGTGAATTTTAAGACAATTCCGTTGCAAAATGTGACTAAAATCATCCAAATACCGAATATCGGGAGGTACCTTTATATGATATACGATATCGTAGACCAATATAGACAAATCTCTTTCCGGAGGTAAAGTGCTTATAAAGAACTCCTTGTGTATAATTTCAAACAATTCCATTGAAAAATGTGTCTAAAATCATCAGAATACCGAATATCGGGGTTACCGTTATATGGGGGCTATACTATATCGCGGAAGGAGACAATTCTCTTTCAGGGGGTAAAGTACTCACAAAGAACTCTTTGTGTAGGTTCAGACAATTTCATCGAAAAATGTGGCTAAAATAATAAAAATACCGAATATCGGAGGGGTACTGTTATATGGGGGCTATACGATATCATGGACCGATATAGCTCATCTTCAAACTTGTATGGTGAAGGGTATAAAAATAAGCTGTTATCGAAAATCTTCTCTAGAATAATAGTTGTTATCGATCAAATGTTCCCTTTCTAAATACTTACATTAAAATCTTGTATCAGCTTCTTATCACACGATGGCCATCTGGGTTCAATACTACACGGCTGGAACACCCATGTGACTATAGCCTTCACATGTGACTTTACGCGACACTGAACATGCGCCTTTTCACCCTCATGCACATAGACATCATCTATGGCAACCATTGGAGTATCATGCACGGTCACGGTGAATTCACGTTCCTTACGCACATTACCATTGGCAGCGCGTACAACGTATACGCCACTATCCAGCAGGCTTGCATTCTTGATGTACAGCGTGGACTTGTGATCCAATGTGGTCACATTATATTTGCCATTGAATGAAACACCCTGTGGTATTTCAGTGCCATCCGGTCGGAACCATTGCAATGTCGGATGTGGATATCCCTTATAGAGCACAACCATTTGCATTGTCTTGTTGGCTGTCGAGGCAATTTCATAGTAATTGTTTTGTTCATGCATGTCTATGTAGGATTGGCCTTCCTCCATTATGACCATGTCGTAGGAATCCTTGTTCTTGTGCTTGCTGTGATCCATGACGTCACATGTGTATTTGCCCGTATCACTCAATTGGGCATTTCGTATGGTCAAAATGCTCTCAGTGTAGGTGTGATGAACGGTGTATTTATTGGTTGGTCGACTGACTTGAGTGACGCGTTCCTGTAGTACAATGTAAACAATTGAGGTTATGTTGTGTAATTGAGGTTAGGTAAGGGGGGAAGTGTTTTCAACTTACTGGATCCACACCCTCGGGCATGTTCCATGTTATTTTCACAACAACATCATGAGCTGTTCGTATCTCGCATACCAATTGAAAGGTTTCACCCACCAGCGCGTGATGTTTCGATGTCGATGTTACAGTGGGTCTTTCCATTTTCTCGGTACGAGCTGTTTTGTATGGGTTGAAATTAACATAAAATGGTTTTGGAAAATTCAATCAAATATTTCCCAAAATGGAAATATTTCTTTGTTGTGATTGATGTGATAAATGGGATATGTTTTGTTTTTGTTTTAAAATGGCGTTAATGGAACATAGAAATTAAAAAACAAAAAATAAAAACACAAACAATACAAAGCACAAAATTACATTTTAAAGTATCTACAACAATTAAACAAAAAGCATCTACAAAACATGTAAAAACAAAAATATATAACGTCTTTTTTTGGGAGGTAAAATTAAAGGTGAAAGTACATAAACAGCTTGAAGTCTTCGCATGGCATATTTTGTGACATATCATAAAGGGATGCCAGAGCCGTACTCAAATTCTGCCGTCGTTTCCCCTTATAATTTGACATTAATATGCCTACGCATGATGCCGAGCTGCTCACCTTGAAGATGCAAGTACATAAAAAGCTTGAAATCATGGCTAGGCATATTAATGTTAATGTAGAGATGTAAAGTTTAACTAACAGTAATCATTTTAGGTAGTTTCACATAGAAGAATACAGGTAGATGCATCGAAGCTTGGTAACATTTATATGTCAAACATATTCAAATATTTTTTTCAAATGTAAGTAAATTTGTAAATGTTCTCATATACGAAGTCAATCGGGGATTATTACAATATGCCTTTTTTAAATTTTTTACAAATTTGAATAATTTTTCATTCAAAAATGTCAATTCCAAAATTGGTTTGACAGTTCATTGTCCCAGCAGCTGTGTCGATGTATTCTCATACCATGGTATTTCCATTGATACCCCACATTTAATGTCACCCAACAATATCTTTAAATATTGTCAACAACAACATTAATCGATTGAGCGGTCCCTAGCTGTTGAGAGCGGTAATTGTATAAAGAGGTATGTTGCACTTGTCCATGCTAAACTTTAAATAAAACACATCGTGCTTTTTGTAAGAGAAAAACTGGCAAATATTTTATTAAACTCCTTCTGTAATAAGTCAAGAAAGGAAAGCTCAACCGATTGTATGGAATTAGTTTCGATTTCTCACCTTGCTACATTTGGTTCTTCGAGTCGGACCGTGGAAAAAAGAATATCTCCACATAATATATGAAGAATATGCCATAACGTCGAGAAAAATCTGTCAGCTAAGCTGAAAATTGCCTTCAAGAGTGGAAAATTATCGGGCTAATACTAGAGCTGGAATAGTTCCCACAGAGGGGAAATTTATCAGCCAATAAAAATAATGCTGAACCAAAGAGACTACAGCACAAAAGACTGTGGTGACCGTGTAAACACTTATCGAGGAGGCTTCATATCTGAGATCACCGTAACATTACGTTTGGTTAATCCCACAGCGCCAGTTCTGTAGGCCACTAGGCACATTATTTCACAACCACACCTTCATACCAAAAAATGTGTGGTTCTTACCAATTTAAAGTTTGAGGTGTGAGGCTATAAGTCCTTATCCTCATGAGGACGAATCGGTGAAATGGCAGCCATTGACGAAGTTCGAGAAAGAACTCAACCATGTACAGGAGTCGTGTAATGTCTGCTATGAAGTTGGGCACAAGATGAAACCTATGAAACCAGTTGAAAGGAAGATCCATGCTAAAAAAATGCTTCTGTCTTGAACACAAGATAAACAAAAGATGTCTCACCAACGGATGGTGTCATATGTGCAATTTAAGGCATCATACGCACTCCACGGATGACGTTTGAATATGGAAATAAGAATATAAAAAGTTTAAATGTGACTTTAGCTATGAAAAAAGCTCTTTCTAATAAATATGCCCAGTTATTAGAGGAAGTAAAGGTGAGAATACGTAAACGCTTCTTTGACTGGCTTAAGTCATAGGCTAGCTTCTTCGTAGAGGAACAAAGACGTTTTAGGTTGACTTAGTTCGATTTTGGCCCACCGCTCCTTTGTTCTTTTCCGAAGAAGCCAGCTGACGACTTAAGCCAGTCAAAAAGATGTTTTATGTATTCTCGCCTTAAAGCGAGAAATGGCTGAACAACGAGCAACAACCATAAAGCTTGAATGTAACCTGGAGGTTTGACGAGACTCAAAATTGAAGGCCCATCAAGAAGCTGAGAGCAAACGCAATAAGTTGAACTGCGCACCAGCGAGAGGTTCGACGAGATATAACATTGAATGATGATGTAAATGAATATAAATGCCGTGTCCTACAAAATCAAGTGGAAGTCAAGTCTGAATTGGTGACTGCTGAGGAGGGAGTACATGCTGTAAGAGTTCAAACACATCTCAACGTAAAGTTTTCGGAGGAGGAAGTAAAACAGATTTCGGAGAGGTTGCCTTCTTCGGAGAAGGCCCATCGAGCAGCAATAAGTTGGCTGCGAAAATAGTCAAAAATTCCAGCGAGAAGTTTGACGAGATTTAACATTGAAAGATGGTGTGAATGAATATAAATGCCGTGTTCTAACAAACCAAGTGCAGGAATTCAAGTCCGAATTGGTGGCTACTAAGGAGAGAGCACATGCAGTAAGGGCTCAAACAAATCTCATCGTAAAGTTTTCGGAAGAGTAAGTGAAACTGCATTCCGAAATACTGTATTTTTCGGAGAAGGCCCATCAAGCAGCTGGGAGCAAACGCGAAAAGCTGGCTGCGAAAATAGTCAAAAAAAATCCAGCAAGTATGAAAGATTTGGAACCGAAGATTCCATTACTGAAGTACTTGGAGAAAAACAAGAATCAAGTTCAGAAGAAGACACTAAAGAATCGAAGTGGGAAAGAAAGCAAAATGTCCTCATTCACCTGGAAACGGAACACGACAGAAGTCAAGAATGAACTGTTCGCTAGCAAGGAACAAGGAACATTTTTATAATCAATTTTTGAATCTTACAATCGCTCAACAAAGAAACCGGCTCCCTTTTGAAACCTATAGATCCCGGTTTATCATCCTCCTTTCCTGTAAACACATTATTTTAATTTCTTCGTCTGTTTATGGCCCTAATGGACATAGGACTTTTCTTATATATTTCCCTATAGCCCAATTTTATTATCCCTGTCTTTAGAATGTAAGGGATAAAGTTCACATTATCGGGTTTTCATTATTACATCTTCCTTTAAAAAAATGTTTTTTCAGAGATATGGCAATAAAATCATTAATTTTTGTCAATGTAACTGATAGTCACTGCATTTTTTCACAGTGGCATCTCCTTTTTGTTTAAAAAAAAATAAAACGAATTTGTAATTAATTTGGTTAAATAAATCTTCAGTTCAGTTCTTCAATATAAAATAAACGATTTGCCATTATTTTAATTATCGATTAATAATTTTAACTGTTATCGAAAAATGTGCTTAAAAATAGCTGTTGTTGAGGAATTTTTTTTGAAAGATCGCTGACAAAAAACTTGATTCGGATATTTTTGGAGGTCTTGCATTCAAAGACCCGCCATAAATCGATTTATTGTAGTAGTTGTGATATGGCAACCTATGATGTAGGGCATTCAATGGACAAAATGTTTAGGCATATATATTTTTATTTTCAAAAATTCAACAATTGGCTTAAAAATTCCAAAAATGTTACAAAAAAAAAAAACTTAAAAATATACTTAGCATGCAGATTTATTTACATATGCACATGTGACATGTAACGGTAGTGTTAGAGACTGTATAAACATAATAACTCATGCAATATATATGTACATATAAAAACTTAATAAAAAATTCAGAACATAAAACATAAAAAAGACAAATACAACACACAAAAATCAAAACAACATTATAAAACACCAAAGGATAACTAAATAAATAATACCAAAATGGTGAAAGTTTCATGTATTTATGTGCGTGGGGTGTATGAAGATACTGAATTAACCTGTGGATTAGGATACTGAGCCCAGTCGGTAGTTGATTAGCTGAAAAATTATTTGCCGTTTATCCGTTCGTGAAGTTCACGCTACAAGAATAAAGCTAGTTTCATTTTCTAAATTGTATATGACAACTCCTCTAGCATCGTACAACTTTTGACATCTAAAATAATTGCAAATCAAAAATATTTTTGCATATGACGGGCAGAAAAACAGAGGAGGCGAATTGCGGACTTGGTGTTCTCTTGCTGTCAGAAGTTTGCTCGCGAGGAATCCAACATAAAGGAATAAAATAAATGTTTAATATAAATGTTGTTTTTTTTTTTTTTTTTGACAGCATCAGTAGACAAATCAGATGTTTAGACATGACAAATTGTGTGTTTTTTAGAACGTTTTTTTTGCCAGACCGGCAAAATGTTCCCTTGGAAGTTAAAACACATAAACTCAGTTGTCTTGTTTCTATACATAACTTCTTTCTTATCACCTATTATCTATATGGCCCGTTTTTATATATTTTCTTTATTGTCCGGTTTTGTTATCCCTTACTTTAGAAAAAGTAAAGGATAAAGTTTATATTATCGGGTTTTCATTGTTGCATCTTTCCTTTAAAATAAATTCTTTTTCAGAGATATGGCAAGATTTTTGTAAATGTACCTGGAAGCCACTGCAGTTTTTCTCAGTGAGATCTCCATTTTAGTTTAAAAATAAACAGAGTGAATTTGCAATTAATTTCGTGAAGTAAATCTTTAATTCAGTTCGTCAATAGAAAATTATCGATTTGCGTTATCCCTTTTTATTTGAATACATTTTGCTTTAGTTTAAAAGAATTTTTCATATTTAAAGGAAACTGGTTATAACGAAAAAAGACTTATTTGTCCGACAACATTATTTTGTTATCTATCGGAAAGATGTAATAATCAGCCTGTGTCTGCTTACTTCAAAATGTGTAAAGGTGTGGGTACATAAGCAGCTTTAAGTCATCGCGTGGCATATTTTGTGACATATCCTAAAGGTACGCCAGAGTCGCATTAGAATCCTGCCGTCGAATTTGAGTGCGGCTTTGGCATCTCTTATGAATGTCACAAAATATGCCATGCGACGACTTCAAGCTGTTTATGTATTCTCACCTTAATAATACATAAAACGCTTTTTTATTGGCTTAAGTCATCGACTGGCTTCTTCGGAAAAGAACAATATTGAATTAAGATTACCTAAAATTCCTTTGTTCCTCTACGAAGAAGCCAGCCGATGACTAAAGCCAGTCAAAAAAAGCGTTCTATGTACTCTAACCTTTACTTTAAAATTTGTAAGAATTTTTACCAAAAAACGAGAGCGGTTCGAAGAGAGAAGTTTTGACAGTTATTTTAATGAGAGTTTGGAAAATTCTTGCAATCACTTCCAACTCTTCTTCTTGCGACAGTCATTCAGTTCAAATCCGCTTGATTTAGTGAGTCTAAACTTATTATAAGAAAAACTATAAAAAGTAAACAGACTGCCACCCTGTAAAACTATGCAAGTAATCAGCTGATTTGTCAAAACCACACAATTTGTCTCTTTAAAAGAATAACATGCAAAAGGGCCGAAAACATTAAAATACTTTGAAAATTTGCTTAATCACTTCCAATTCTTGTTCTTTCGACAGACAGTTGTTTTTGATTATAGGAATTTCAGAATTTTCCAATTCTCTTACTTTTTTTACTCTTTTTCCATTTTATTCTTTTAAGCGGGCAAGTTGAGAAATCAGCTGTTTACTTCTATATGTTTACAGGGTTGCAGTTTGTTTACTTTTTATAGTTTTCCTATAGTACGTTTAGACTTACTACTTTGAATGAATTTCTACAGTCAACTCCATTGCGTATAAGTCAAATTAAATCGACTCTAAAATTTAGTGGATATCATTTTACACATGGTAGAATAATACAGAAAGTTGCATTGACACAGCTGCTGGGACAATGAACTGTCAAACCAATTTAGAAATTGAAAATTCTTTAATGGAAAATTATTCCAATTCGTTAAAGTTTTTGAAAAATGTATATCATAAAAACCTCTAGGCGGTGGCGTAAATGTCTACTTAATTTTGGCAAAAAATTTGACATATAAATGTTCCCACGCGCTGATGCATCTGCCTGAATTCTTCTACCATGATAAATACTAAACTGTAACGAAAAAAAAAATCGATCCCGTCCGAGTCTTGTGTAAACTAGATATCAGCATCACAAATTCTAATTACACATCTGTTAAAGCTCAGTATCCTTTTTTTCGGTGAACAACAACGATTTTAAATGAAAATGAATAACTAAGCGAGACAAACAACGCCACCAAAAGCAATGAAACACTTACGCTTAGGTGTACTACTCTTAGCTAAACTTTTACGAGATGAACGTCTGGTTGTAGTTTCTACGTCGCGTATTAATCTTGAAACCGTTTTCATTGAATCGTCGGAACTATTTTCCGAACTATATTGCGATTCATTGCTATTGGAAAACGAATCATAATCGGTGTCGTTGCTGTTGTCGTCGTCATCGTCATTGCTGTCGGTAGTAGATGTCGATGGGATTGTTGTCGAAGTGGTACGCGGAATGAAACCATCACCCAAATGATTATCGTGCAAACGTGGATCATCAATATTAAGCATGGCATTGCCATCACCAATTGTTAGCTGAGGGGGGTTCACATCAATGGATAGAGTAGAGTTTTCTAAACGATTACTACTGCGACGACGACTGTATCGACGAAGACTAGAGGTGCTGTTAATGACATTGAGGACTGGTTTTTGGTTAGTTACGGTACTTGGTACAGTGTTCGTCGCCGGTCGGGTTGTTAATGTTGAAGTTATAGTTGAGGAATTCGGAATGGGAGATGTGGTGGGAGTTGTATCAAAATTTGTAATCGTGTTATTATCCAATTGTTTGGAATTTGTTAGACCCATTATTCCAGTTGAAGATTGTGTCGTTGTTATTGACCCATTATCCAGTTGTAATGCTAATTATAATAATTTTTTGTAAATGTTGTGATAGATTTTTTTTGAAGAGAAATGAGTAGGAAGAGAGAACAGACACACCACCATTAAATATAAACTTAAATTAACCAAAACCAATTAAAATTGATAAAAAAAATTGCAAATGGCCTAATTTCGAAGATAATCGACACGAGGATAAACAATTTCTAAATATTATAACGATAGTCGTATATGTTGCGATACAAAGGTGTTCGATATTTTTCAATGAATTTTTACTGCGTTACCCAGGATACGGAGCAAGTAAAAAAACAGCTAAGTTCTGCCGGGCCGAAGTTTTAATAACCTCCATCATTTGGAAGGAACTTGAAAAATGTTAAGAATATAAATAATACCGTTTGTATGAAAAACGTTATATAGGGGCTATACGAAGACGAGGACCTGCATATGCAAATTTTTGTTATAGGCTGTAGTATCGATTCCGAACTTCAAATACGAGATTTAAAACAATTCCGTTGAATGATGTCGTTAAAATCATCAAAATACCGAATATCGGGAGGTTCCGTTATATGGGGGCTATACGAAGGCGTAGACCGGCATATGCAATTTTTTGGGTGAAGCACTCAAAAGGAAATTTAAAATCATTAATTTTTAGGATATGGACCTGGCGTATTTGGTTAATACGGACGTATAAAACGTGTTTTACAAGCAATTTATGGTGGTCACAAGGTGATTCGAAATTTTGTATTTTTGTTTTTGCAAGACAACTTTTTTAAGAAGTGTATTTCAGTAAAATATGTCACTGAATATTTATTTTATGTAATATTTTATTTTTTACTCTATTTTTTAATATAAACCATCATTTACTTCAGAAATTTTTAACTGTTCACCATTATTATTATGCTCTTTTGTGTTCAAATCACCCTGTGCATTCACAGGGTGCTTCAAGTAGAAACAGGCATTTGTCGTGATTAAAAAAAAAATGGAATAGGCAAGAATGCCTCCATGAGATGTAGTCGATTATCTTGGAAATTATTCCACAAAAATACCAATAACAACAACAAACCACAAAAATCCTTTTTTCTTGTTCTCTATGATTACACACCACCCCATTTTTTTACATTTTTTTTCTGCTCCTTAAAAAACTTTTTCATAAGTATGTAGGTAGGGGGCTAGGTGGAGCGTGGAAGCTTTTCTTATTTTAGGGTTTTTGTTGGTTTTAGACATTGAGTTAAAGGGACCATCATTAGGGGGCTAACTAACAAACTTAAAAAAGACGGAAACAAGCACAAAACAGGGGTGCAACAACTCACGATTAACAATTTTGTTACCAAGAATAGTTTCGACGCTGGTCGACTCTGCTTCATTGTCCGGAGATGGTATTTTGGGCCGGCAAATGTAATCGCCATGTTCTTCCATGCTGCGAACTTCGATGACAAATCCCAATTGTGGATTATAGCGTACACCACTATCGCTGGCTAAGGTCTAAATTAGAATTCATAAAAATTTAAACAGATTATTTTTGAAAAAAAAAAAAATCTAAATTTATAAGGCACTCTTATATCAGGACGGCAAGCAAGCAATTATTAGTGGCAAAAGCGTAAAGTTTTCTTTTTTTGTAAATGGAAATGGTGTTTCTTTTGTAGGTGTTGTGTGTGAGTGTAATTTTTCCAAAAAATAACCCAAAAGTGTGAGAGAGAAAATAAAGGTAGTACCAAAAACCAAAGAAGGGAAGTATCCCCTGTCATGTGTACGATGGATTAGTGAACTAAAAAAATAATAATGCAGGAAACCAAATCAACTTCTAGTTTAGTAGTTTGACATTTTTAGCAACAGTTTGCTTACTATCGGGAACGGAGGACAATAATTTTCGCGATTCCTAAACTTAAAAGTAACGCGATTCTATAAACTATAACATCCTATATACTGTACTTTATTATAATAAAACCAATAAGGAAAAGTCAAAAGTCGGGCGGGCGGGCCCTACACCACTATATATATTTGGTAGAGCTCCCGTAACAAAAGAATTTATTTATAGTAGATCATACCACCTTTCAACATTTGGCTTGAGAGCAGTTATACTTTGGTTTCAGATTGAATTTATATATGGAAGGCATATCATGCGTGATAGTGTGATTTCTTTATATTTGGCTTACCACTATGTGGTGTAGGGTATAAAAAGGATTAAATAATAATTTCGGATTTGCCCACAGGATGCAAAAAAAGTTAACCCAATGAACACATTGGGTAGCTAGGAAAATAAATCAGTCGCGGTGTATAGTTAGCAAGCTTTAAGAGTTGTAAAGCTTAAACAGATCAAGGCTTATATCGTGACTTCGGCACATGGTAGAAGAATACAGGAATACAGATGCACCAAAGCTTGGGAACATTGATAGCCATTTTTTTTTAATGTTTCTCCAAAAATAAGTATATTTGTATATGCTTTCCAGTCGGAGGTTGTTATGATATGTTTTTTTTTTACAAATTTTAATAATTTTTCAATCAAACATTTCAATTCCAAAATTGATTTGACAGTTCATTGTCCCAGCAGCTGTGTCGATGCGGCTACCTGTATTCGTCTACAATGCTTCGGCGATAAAATAAAACATTGTTGTCATTTTTGGCTAAACTAAACGCTAAAATCAGCTGGTAATGGCAACATTGTTTAATTTTTACGCCAAAGTTACGATTTAAGCGTTGATGTGATTTGGCCTATGGGAACAAACTTACAGTTATACCTGATAGAGATATTAACTAAAAAATAAGAATAATGTAATATCAAAAGTACAATTTACACTGCTACAAATGTATAAACTTATAGTTTAGAACTGTTTATAAAAAACTACTCAAAGGAAGTTAACTACAATGATGTAAATGCATATACATAAATAATTATACATTAAAAAAATGGAAATGTATATACATCATTTATACATATTGATAAGTGTTTAAATAAAACTTACGAAAATGGTACACATTGTTTTAAGAATATTTCTGTTGAATTTCATGAGTAGATGGCGCAAGCTTAGACTTTCTCTTTTGGGCCACCAATCACCATCTACACTTCAAATGCAAATTCTATTGGAAATTCTGAATTTTGGTCTATATAAACGAATTTATCTTCAATGTTACTGGCTATATACATATTTTTATATAACTTTTACATACATAAAGTGAAATGTATATACATATGTGTACATAGATAGAAAGATATATACAAATTTTACATATATACTACAAATTGAATTAATTTTGGAATTTAAGATGTAGATGGCACCAGTTCAACACTTAGCCACCAAGTACCATCTATATCTCAAATGGTAAACTTTACTGATATATTTATCCTACTATACGACTTTTTCAAGCTATATAACCGTTTTTTGGCTTTAAGATAGACTACCTATATACATATTTATTATAACTCTATATAAATACTTTTTTTCTACATAACGGGTTAGTGAGATCTAAGTCAATTCTTATTTGAAATATAAAAAACGAAAAACATAATCACCACATACGAAAAACTTTAAAGGTATAAATTAGATCCGAAGTCGCTCCTCGATATTGACCAATACAGTTCACATCGCCCGAAACTTGATTCAAACTATGAACCGTAAATCCGATTGTGGGCTTATATGTGATACTATCATAGACCATAAGCGATGGATAGCTAATATTTTGAACTGTTATATTTGAGGTTGTAATTATAATTTGACCATCATCCTACGATTTTTTGATTTCCGAAAAATTATAATAGAAAAAAAAATGAAAATAACCAAAATAAAATTAAAGAGCCAAAACCGAAAATATAAAAAGGATTAGCAGAAGATTTGTGGATAGGTGTTAACATGAAAAAAAAAAACAAAATATTAGATACAGTGTTAGTAGTTTAGAAATTAGAGATTTCCCCCTCCATAAAAAGTCAAACAATATAAAAATTTGTAATGGTATAACTAGTTTGTATTTAATGGTAGATCTAGTTAAAGAGCGCAATGTGAAACACACTCTTAGAGAACCACTTTGGCGAGAATCTAAAAAAAAAAAAACAAAAATTAGTACTAATCTCAAAGTCTAAATGGGTGTTACTTTCACATTTTATGAAGTTAATAGATATTCAAAATCGTTTTGGTTATTCAAAACGTTGACCCTTGGTGGGGGAGGTACCAGAAGGAATGTTTCGATCTCTACCATCTTTATAACATGTCATATGCTGATAGAAATACTGAGATGTGCCAAGTCGGAATGGAATCGGAAATTATTTTCGCGTTTTATGAGCTTAATAAATACTCAAAATTTTGAACCCTTTGTGGGGGAGGTATCAGAAGGAGTGGACCGGTATATCAGATCTTCACAGCAGATCTTGTGTTGCTGGAAATAGTGGTATGTGTAAAATATGAAGAGAACCGGATGCTTATTTCGGATTTTATAAACGTTTTGATAATTCAAAACTTTTACCCATTGTGGGGGAGGTAGCAGAAGGAATGGTCCGATATCTACCATCCATATAACATATATTGTGTTGATGGAAATATTGAGATGAACCAAGTCTAAATGGAATCGGGTGTTACTTGGGGGGTTTTAAGAGCTTTATGGATACTCAAAATTTTAACCCTTTGTGGGGGAGGTATCAGAAGCAGGTAAGCGATATATGTAATTTGAAAATAATCGGACACTTGCATCACATTTTATAAAAGTTCTAATTATTCAAAAATTTGACCCGTTGTGGGGGAGGTACTGTATGAAGTGGACCGACATTGTCCATTTTGGCACCTGACGTTGGACTGATGGAAATTTTACGATTTGCAAAGTTGGAGCAAAATCGGATCATCGTTTCTCTCGCTCTCTCTCTGTGCAGTAAAATATTTTTTTTTTGAAAATTTCGACCTTTTTTCGGGAGGTACCAGAAGGAGTGAACCGATATTTTCCATCTTCACACCAGACCTTGGGTTAATAAAAATATTGTGATGTGTGTAATTTTAAGACATTCGGACTCTTACATCACATTTTATAAGAGTTATAATTATTCAAAATTTTGACACTTTGTGCGGGAGGTACTTGATGGAGTGTACCGATATTGTTCATCTCCTGCATTATATTCTTTTTTGCTTGCTTACAACGAATGTTCCACACAAGCAGAAGAAAAACAAGTAATAAAGCTGTAAGTTCGGCCGGGCCGAACTTTGAATACCTTTCACAATTTGGGACAAATTTGGCAATTTTCAACAAATAAAATCCATTGAAAATTCTGTTAAAATCTTCAAAATACCATATCATATTAGGGTCTAAACGACGACGAAAGACCTGCATAGGCAACTTTCGTCATAAGCCATAACAATATTCAAATGCGAAACTTGAAAAAAATTCGAGGAATAATGTAGCTAAAATCATCAATATAGGGAGGTACTATTATGTAAGGGCTATACCAAAATGTTGTCCTGCACAGCCATAGTCTGCAGTATCCATTTCGAACTTCAAATACCAAATTTGAAACCATTCCGATGAATAGTATCGCTAAAATCATCAAAATACCGAATATCGGGGGCACCGTTATATTGGGGCCATACGAAAACTTGGACCTGCACAGACAGTCTATTGTCATAGGCTGTAGTATCCATTTCGAACTTCAAACACCAAATTTTAAACAATTCCGGTGAATAATGTCGTTAAAATCATCAAAATACCGAATATCGGGAAGTGCCGTTATATGGGGGCTATACGAAGACGTGGACCTGTACAGAAAGTCTCTTGTCATAGGCTGTAGTATCCATTTCAAACTTTAAATACCAAATTTGAAACTATTCCGGGGAATAATGTCGCTAAAATCATCAAAATACCGAATATAGGGAGGTACTCTTATATGGGGGCTATACGAAAACGTGGACCTGCACAGAACGTCTCTTGTCATAGGTTGTGGTATCCATTTCAAACTTTAAATACCAAATTTTAAACAATTCCGGTGAATAATGTCGTTAAAATCATCAAAATACCGAATATCGGGAAGTGCCGTTATATGGGGGCTATACGAAAACGTGGACCTGCACAGAAAGTCTCTTGTCATAGGCTGTAGTATCCATTACGAACTTCAAATACCAAATTTGAAACAATTCCGGTGAATGGTATCGCTAAAATCATCAAAATACCGAATATAGGGAGGTACTGTTATATGGAGGCTATACGAAGACGTGGACCTACATGACCCTTTTTCAATACCAAAAGTCCTGCAGACATAATACACATTTGACTAAAATTTTATCAACCTACTTCATTTCGTTCGGAAGCTAGAGTGATTTCCACAGACAGACGGACATCCCAAAATCGGCATAGAATTTTATATTCAAGAATGTGTATAGTTGTAAGGTGTTGCATACTTTTAGGCATATGACAATTAGTGGCCTTTTTATACCGTAAACTAATATTTATGTGGTGGGTAAAACAAAAATCACAGTTCGTCCATAGATTTGGCTCAGTCTTTCATGGAATATAACTACAAAAAAATTGTTCTGCAACAATTTGATATTAATGTGATCCTGCGTATTGAATAAAATTTGAAAATATTGTTTGACTTTTAATGTATGACCTTCCTCTTTTCTTTTGTTATGTGTGAGTGTGGGTGAGTGCTTAAATTAGATGTTAGCAAGTTAATAGAAAGCAATTGCAAAGCAACATTTATAAAAAAAAAAAACAATAAAAAAATCCGATAAAAAAGACAACTTCTAATAACTTAAGCCAATAATGTAAGGGAAGCTGCTTGAGAGTTTCTTGAATGAAAAAATTACAATTAAATTTTCCTTTTGAGCGCATGGACAGACAAAATTTTCACCCGGTTCAAACCGTGATAATTGGGCAATCACAATAGATGTGACATCTGTTTTCCATAGTCAGCTTTATTGTGATTAGTGAATTAATCATGATAATGACTTGTAGGTAAACGTACTTTGAGTCCTTGGACGTTCCCATGGAAGAAGAATACAGGTAGATGCAGCAACACATGGGAATATTGGGAATATGTCAAAATTTTTAAATTTTTTGTTCAGAATAAATTGTTTTTTATATTTTATCTTATACGACGCCAATCGGAGATTCTTATGATATGCATTTTTCAACAATTTTGGAATTGACAATTATAAATGAAAAATTATTCAATTTTTTTAAAAATTGAGTATCATAACAACTTCCGGCTGGTGTCGCATGGTAAATCATATAAAAATCTACTTATTTTTGAAAAAAAAAAAAAAAAAAAAACATTTACACAATTCTGACATATCAATGTTCCCAAGCGTTGATGCATCTACCTGTATTCTTCTATCATGGCACGCTACCTTCTATTATTGGCTTAACATTAGATAGTCTAGCCATTTTTCTCCTCCCTTTTGGTAACAATTTTCTCTTACCTTTCCATTGGGCATTGTTAGTAGAACATCTACGTCTGGCATTGAGGGTTTACATGGTATGACGGCATCTTCAAATTGCACCACATGTATGACGGGGAAGGGCATGGGAGCCAATAAATTCGTGGTATCTGTTGTACGGGAACACGTTTCAAGATCTCATTGGATTTCATATTTTCGCCTTACTTACCATTCACAAAAACATAAATCGATGATGCCAAATTGTTGTTGGCCAAATCGGTTAGGGTGGCATCTTCGATGGACAGCAAATGTGTAACATTGACACTGGACTCTTTGATGCAATAGTAACTGCCCACCGAGGAATAGGAAACCATTTTTAGGGTTAGAATACGACCAAATGGACGGCTGGGATCATCTGGCTGGTAGGTACTCTCTTCGACATCCGACTCGAATGGATGCTTCCAAACAATATCCTCGTTCGATTCACAGCGTAACACAAAATCGGTATTGGCTTCCAGTATGACTTCATCCTGCAGAGGTATCAAAAGGGGTGCACCCAATTCCACGGCATAATTTCGTTCATAATCCATGTCATTCGATTTACTAATGCGATTCGATGCATCTTGGGGTTTGGGATGTGGCACTGAAAAAGAAGGAGATTTGAAAGAAATTAAAACAAAAACAAAACACATTTGCTATCGTAGAAATGAAAAAAAGAGAAGAAATGAAAAGAAAGATGCGAGGGTCATGCCGCCGCCAGTCTGACAAAAGATAAGCATGAAGAATTTCTTCTTCGTCTGTTTCTTTTGTGTGTTGTGGTGAATCTCCAGTTGCTGATGGTTGCTGTTGTTTATGTTTCCAATAGAAAAGTCTCATATTTCTTCGGAGTCTTCAAGTTGTTATTGTTGTAACATGTCTATGGTCAGGGCATTGCTGTGAACCCATTTAGATAAACCGAAGTTAATCAGGAATGAGAAATAAAATATAAACAAAGTATACGGGGTCCACACAGAAACCTGTTAAGTAATCAAAGGGAAAATCAATGCAAATGAATAGCTATTTTAAAACAAAAGTAGACTTTTATTGTGTTCCCGTACTTTTGTAGAAGTGAAACTCATTAAAGAGAAAAATTCCCTCTGAGAAAACTACGTTGCCCAGAAAGTTCAGAAACGAAAAACAAGTAAAAAACATTAAGTTCGGCCGGGCCAAACTTTGTATACCCTCCACCTTAGGGTAAAGGAAACATTAGAAGAAATGTGGCAAAAACCATCAAAATGCAGAATATCGGGAGGTACTGTTATATGGGACCCATTATGACCCACAAATACCAATTTTTAGTGAAAAAATGTGGCAAAATCCATCAAAATACCGAATATCGGAACCCATTATGACCTACAAATACCAATTTTCAGACAAATCCGTGAAAAAATGTGGCATAAATCATCAAAATACCGAATATCGGGAGGTACCGTTATATGGCGGCTATACCAGAACGTGGACCGTTCGTTTCAATACCAACCATCCTAGACACAGTACAAATTGCTCTGCTACTACGCTCTACGTCAAATAATGTGGGCTGTGCCGTGATTTCAACCTACAGACAGACGGACATCGTTAAATCGACTTAGAATTTTATGCTGATTATGAATATATATACTTTATGGGGTCTACCCGCCTTTCCAAGGTGGAGGGTATAACAAGCAAAAATTTCAAAAATAGATGGCAATCCTTGAAGCTCAGCATTGTAGCCAGTCAGAAGCTTGCTATCATGTCCCTTTTTTTGTCTAGTAAACCGTTTTTAAAGAGAACCTCAATAACAACCAGTTTTGTTTTTTCTTAACTTTGCCCACAAGTTTTACTAAATTTTCGGGTACAGACCCGGCTTTGTAATAAAAAATACCAGAACGTGGACTGATATATCTCATTTTCAATACCAACCATCCATCCAATACCAATTGCTCTGCTAAATTTTGGCGCTCTACGTCAAATAATGTGGGCTGTATCGTGATTTCAACAGACAGACAGATAGACAGACGGACAGACGGACAGACAGACAGACAGACAGACAGACAGACGGACAGACAGACGAAGGTTAAGTCGACTTAGAATTTTATGCTGATTATGAATATATATACTTTATGGGGTCTACGACGAATATTTAAGAATGTTACAAACGGAATGACAAAGTTAATATACCCTCCTTTCCAAGGTGGAGGGTAAATACATTTTTTTTAAATTTTATTGAATGAAAGCAAAATATGTCGGAAATAGCATCAAATTCTAGAATATGTTTAGATTTGTTCGAATTGGTCACCTTTGGCACGAGTTATGGACTTCAAACGACCAATGAAACCGTCACACGCTTCCCGAATGTTGCTCTGCGGTATTTTGGCCCATTCCCATACAAAACGCTTGGTGCCAACCATGCTTTCCAAAATACTCCAGACACAATAGTCCAACGGATTGGTATCCGGAGATTTTGGGGGCCATTGTGTGCTGGAAATGAAGCGAGGAACCTCATTTTGTAACCATTCATGGGTGGCGCGTGCTGAGTGCGATGCTGCTGAGTCCTGTTGGAATGTCCAAGGTCTGCAGCCAAAATGTTTGCGTGCCCAGGGCTTTAATACACCCTCCAGTATATTTTCGCGATAATATTCGGCATTTATTCTGATGCGAGCGGAGAGCGACCATCGGCTGTTAATGGCTTAGTGTAAGCTCATTTTTAAATATTTGCCGAATAGAATATTGCGATATGTTCAGCTCTCGAGCCATTTTTGGGCCACTGCGACGCGGGTTTCGATCAAGTCGCTTCTTTACTTTTCGAACCATTTCTGCTGATATTTCTGTTTTCTTCCGTCCACTTTCTTGACGTCGGGCTACGTAGTACCAGTATCACAGCGATGGTACGAGACACAAAAGATTTATTCACATTTAAATGCTGGAGGGCTCCAACGATAGCCACTTGTGGGTTTTCAGCCAAATATAAATAAATCTCACTATCACGCTTGAATTCGATCACGAATAAAATTTTTTCTGGAAAATTCTCACCGAAATGCTTTTGTACGCTTGTAAACAATATAATGAGGAATAATTTTGACAGCTGTCGGACGAGTGGCTTAGAAATGACAGCAGTCTGAAGTTGGTTGCAGTTTTTTCATATCACCCTGTAGATCTATTAAAGGCATTCTTACCATAATTAACCTTTAAATGGTCCTACATTTGGAACCGATATATGCCATCTTCACAGCGTATCTTGTGTTAGTAGAAATAATGGGATGTGTAAAATATGAAGATGCTTATTTCGGATTTTATGATCGTCTTGGTTATTCAAAACTTTGAACCTTTGTGGGAAAGGTACCAAATGGAATTGTCGAGTCTTTACCATCTTTATAACAGATTTTGTGTTGATGAAAATGAATATGCATTCCAAATCTGAATGGGCTTCATGAATTTTCAAAATGTTGACACTTTGTAGGTGAGGTACCAGTAGGAGTAGACCTATATATTCCATTTCCACACCAGATCTTGGATTAATAAAAATATGGCGGTGTGTGTAATTTGAAAACAATCGGACCCTTACATCATATTTTATAAGAGTTATATTTATTTATTTTTATTTTATAAAATATTGATTCTTTGTGGAGGAGGTACTTGATGAAGTGGACTGATATTGTCCATTTTTGCACCTATCCTAGCACATATGCCAATATTACGATTTGCAAAGTTGGAGCAAAATCGGATTATCCTTTCCTTTCTGGGCAATAAATTATTTTCTTTGAAAATGTTGAAATTGAAATTTTGTGGCGGAGGAACCAGAAGCAGTGGACTCATATTGCCCATCTCCGAACTCGGTTTAAGTTTGATAATAATATTGCGATGTACCAAGTTTGGACCAAATTGGATTCTCCCTTCGAGAGTTATCGTCCGCAGCAGCCAGACAGACGGATGGACGGACATAGCAAGATCGACCTCAAACGTCCTGAAACGGATTTGGTCCAAAGAGACCTAGAGTCTAAACCCGTTATTTCGATGAGTCACGTTTCGCCCGTATCAAATTATATATACTTTCTCTAGCTATATGGCTGAGGGTATAAAAATGGCATGCTCAGCAGTTAATGCTCCAGAATATATGGATGGCCAAAATACACAAACCAGAAATACCGCTGAGACTTATTGTAACCCCAAAATAAAGTAGGTTTGTACTCATAAAGATGCACTTTACCACAAAAACCCGATTTGTAACCATGTACTTAATAAAACAAGTAAAAAAGCTGTAAGTTCGGCCGGGCCGAACTTTGAATACCTCCCACCATTTAAAATTCTGTTAAAATCTTAAAAATACCGAAAGTAGCCGTATATTAGGCTCTACACGAAAACGTGGACCTGTATACGCAACTTTTGTCATAAACAATTACAATATTCAAATGCGATACCTTAATAAAAAATTTTGGTGAAAAAGGTAGCTAAAGTCATCAAAATTCCGAATATAGGGAGGTACCATTATATTGGGGCTATACGAAGACTTGAACCTACACAGACAAGTTTCTGTAATAGGCTGTAGTATCTATTACGAATTTCAAACGCCAAATTTGAAACAATTCCGGTGAATAATGTCGCTAAAATCATCAAAACGCCGAATATCCGGATGTACCGTTATATGGGGGCTATACAAAGACGAGGACCTATAAGATAATTTTTTGTTATAGGCTGTAGTATCCATTACGAACTTCAAATACCAAAATTGAAACAATTCCGGTGAATAATGTCGCTAAAATCATTAAAATACCGAATATCTGGAGGTACCGTTATATTCATTACGAACTTCAAGTACGATATCTCAAATAATTTCGGTGAATAAAGTCGCTATAATCATCAAAATACCGAATATCGGGAGGTACCGTTATATGGAGGCTATACGAAGACGTGGACCTGCACAGACAATTTTCTGTCGTAGGCTGTGGTATCCAATACGAACATCAAATACCAAATTTGAAATAATTCCGGTGAATAATGTCGCTAAAATCATCAAAACGCCGAATATCCGGATGTACCGTTATATGGGGGCTATACGAAGAAGTGTTCCTGCACAGAAAATTTTCTGTCTTAGGCTGTAGTATTCGTTACGAACGTCAAATACCAAATTTGAAACAATTCCGGTGAATAATGTCGCTAAAATCATCAAAATACCGAATATCGGAGGGTACCGTTGTAGGGTGGCCATACGAAGACGTGGACCTGCACAGACGATTTTCTGTCATAGGCTGTAATATTCATTACGATCTTCAAATACGACATCTCAAACAATTCCGGTGAATAATGTCGCTACAATCATCAAAATACCGAATATCGGGAGGTACCGTTATATGGGGGATATACGAAGACGTGGACCTGCACAGACAATTTTCCGTCATAGACTGTAGTATCCATTACGAACTTCAAATATTAAATTTGAAACAATTCCATAGAATAATGTCGCTACAATCATCAAAACGCCGAATATCCGGATGTACCGTTATATGGGGGCTATACAAAGACAATTTTTTGTTATAGGCTGTAGTATCCATTACGAACTTCAAATACCAAAATTGAAACAATTACGGTGAATAATGTGGCTACAATAATCAAAATACCGACTATCGGGAG